GCACGTGCGCGACTTTGCCGCCACTTTGACGCACCTCGTGCCATTGTACCTCCCCCTGCAACCTCCATCCGCTGAAGTGCTCGCAGAGCACACCCAGTTGGCAGCGTCCTTTAGCATTGAAGCATTGGCCGACACGCCCATCGACGTCAAAGACGGCTCGTTCCGCCGATGGACCATCCACGACTACACGAGCCGATACAAAGCCGGGACTGCCACGCCGTCGCAAGTCATCGCAACGGTGCTCGACGCCATCGACGCTTCGAATGTATTGTCCCCTCCCTTGTTGGCGTTCGTCAAAGTCAATCGGGACGCCGTTCTCCAAGAAGCTGCCGCCGCCACTGAACGATATGCACGCGGCACCCCCCTGGGAGTGCTTGATGGCGTTCCCGTCGCCGTGAAAGACGAGGTATGTTGGATATAGTATTTATTCATCACACCAAATATATCAACGTAGTCATTCCTGCTCACTTTAATCCCTTGCTGTAGCTCAATGTCGTCGGGTACACGACTTCATTCGGCACGTCGTTCATGAACGACATGGCTACCGAGGACGATGCTCCCATCGCTCGCCTTCGCCAAGCTGGCGCCATATTCGTGGGGAAAACCAACATGCACGAGATCGGCATGGGGACGTTTGGCATCAACATCTTCACTGGCACCCCTCGCAACCCATACAACGACCAGCACATGACCGGCGGGTCCTCCAGCGGGTCTGCCGCGGCCGTGGCAGCTGGCCTCGTGCCCCTCGCCATCGGCTGCGACGGAGGGGGGTCGATTCGAATTCCCGCCGGATTGTGCGGCATCGTGGGGATCAAGGCCACGTACATGCGCGTTCCGTTCCACTTTCAAGGCGGTCCCAGTGTCGCGAACGTCGGGCCGTTGGCAGCCACGGTGCAGGATCTGGCGTTGGCGTACGCGGTGCTCGGTGGGGCCGACCCCGACCAGCCGTTGAGTGTGTGCCAGCCCCCGCCGTTCGTGCTGCCCCCCTCGACGCCTCCGTCCTTGGCAGGGCTCCGGGTCGGCGTCTTTTCTGCCTACGTCGAAGGGTCGGATCCGCAGATTAAATCGGCGTTCTGGGACACCGTCGCGTACTTGAGAGAACTGGGGGCCACGGTGGTCGAAGTGGAAATTCCCCACCTCCAAGCGCTGCACTTGAGTCACTCGATCACGATTTTGACCGAGATTTCGCTGCTGATGGACACCCAACCCCAACATTTGTTTAGCCCTGACGTTCAAATCGCTCTGGCCCTTGGACAGGAAACGCTAGACTCGATGGACTTTTTGGCGGCGCAAAAGGTGCGCGCGTATGCTATGGAAGCGACCGACGACTTGTTTGCCCAAGTGGATGTATTCGTCACGCCAACCACTGCAACTTTGGCCCCTCGACTGGAAAATGACGTGTTCAAGGCGGGGCTGTCGGAATTGTCGCTCACGACAGCCTTGATGCGGTATATTCTCCTGGGGAATATGGTGGGCATTCCAGGATTATCGGTGCCCGTGGGGTATGCGACAGAGTCCAATTTGCCCGTTTCCATGCTGTTCCAGGCCAAACACTGGAACGAGCATGTGCTGTTTGACGTCGCGCGACTCGTCGAAGCGCATGCCGTCGCAAAAAAGCCCTCCGTGTACTATTCCATCTTGGAGTAACTATGCGTCCAGAACGAATAGGCCACTCAACACGTTTTTCGCGGATTTGCATTTCGCGTTGGTAAGATGCTGTCATATTTTTAGCTTGAAAAGGGATTACGATCAAAGGTGAGAATTTGCCGTCATCGTACATACGATCAAAAGTGTGAAACAAATAACGTGAAGGTGCGATAGCGCGGAGATGTACTCACATATTCACTCAGTGTGGAAGGTGCATGCATTTGCACCAGTGATAACGAAGGCCATACTGGTAGTGCTATAGTATTGAGTCTATTGGCTTTACGCTCTGAATCTTGAAAATGGCGGTTTCAATATCATAAGGTTTGGAACGAAGTCGTCCGTTTCAAAACCAGCCAATGAACGCGCTTGAATAAGGTCGAACGGTCGTTGATTGGTAGACATTTTACCACATGTTCTAGTGTTTAGTGTACGTGGTGTTATGTCATCGGGCCATTATTGAGTCAACGGTTTCAAGGCCAGTTGCAGATTCACCATCTCCACAGAAAGTGACGTCATGCTGCCAGTGGTGCCTCTGGTACTGACAAAGCAGGCGTCTTCGTTCAGGGAGCGCATTCAACACGCTCACAGCAGCGTGGATCTGTGGGCCATGGGCATCACGATCGTCATTGGCGGGCAGTTCTTCTCGTGGAATGCTGGGTTGACATGCGGCACCGTCAGCTTTGGCCTGTCCGTGCTCGTCATGGGCGCCGCCTACGTGTGTTTGGCGTGTTCTTTGTCTGAAATCTCGAGCATGCTGCCATTTGCAGGTGGGGCGTATGGCCTGTCACGGTGCACACTCGGGTTCTTTCCGGGCTTTATCCTTGGCAGCTGCGAAGTCCTCGAGTACATTCTGTACGTGTCCAGCGTGAACGTCATGCTTGGAAAGACCGTGGCCGCGAAATGGCCAGTGCTCGAGCCGTACGTTCCTCTTGTGTGGCTCGCTGCGTACGTCGTGGCTTTTGGAATCTTGACGGTGGGGGGCCGGCTCTTTTGGCGAATAAATCTCGTGTTTGCAGTTGCCCTGATGCTCCAACTAGTCATATATGTGGTCGGCTCTGCCACGTATGTTGACATTGCCCAGCAAGGAGGAGGGGCACAGCACTACGTCGTGGGCGGGTTGTACGAATGGTGCGCCTCCTTTCCCATGGCTATGTGGTTCTACGTTGGCATCGAGGCGCTAAATACGTTATGCAACGAAGTGGACAACCCTAGAGCTACCATTCCTCGCGGTCAGTTGACTGCGATAGCGACCGTCTGCACCTCGGCCATTGCCGTTTACTTCGTCGCAATCAGCTTACCCCCCGGAGTGGCATCGCTGTCATCCGTTCTGAACGTCCTAAACGGGGGGTTCACTCAAATCCTGGGCATTTCCGACCAAGATGCCTCCCTGTTGAATATCCCCGCGCTCTTTGCCACCATGCCAGGGCTGTTGCTAGCCACGGGCAACATCATCACCGCCTTGGCCGAATCCAAACTCGTTCCCTATCGCCTGCACCGCCGCCACGAGACCTTTGGGACCCCCGCCCGCGCCATGGCGGCGGCCACAACACTCAGCTTTGCCTTGTGTTTCTGTGCTATGTACCAGCAAAACGCCGACACGACCATGTACTATGTGAGCATGTTCTTCGGCTGCATGACGTACATCTCGCAGTGCATTGGGTACATTTTCCTCAGTCGGCGGTACCACAAGATGCCGCGGTCGTTTCGAAGCCCGTTTGGAGTTGCTGGGGCGATGTACGCGATGATTGTGTTCTCTATCAGCGCGCTCTCGATTCTAGCGTGCCAGAACCACAGCTACAGCTCCACGGTGGCGATCGCCGGGATATTAACGGCGCTTTCCGTGTATTATCACGGGTATGCCAAGTCAAGGCAGTCCATTTCAGAAGACGAGCGCAAACTGCTCTTCTTTGCACATGTTGGTGCGTTGGCTATTCAAACTTTGCTTGACATGGTAGGGTTGAGCTAATTAATTTGAGCGTGTAGCAAACCACAACAACGCCAAGAAGAAGCAGCATCAAAAAGCAAATCGACGAAAGAAAGGTCTGTTCCGAATCCTTGCGTTCCTGGGGCGTCGGCGGTCGTCGGTAATCGAGACTTCCATGACCAAGAAAGCCTGCAAGTCGACATCTGTGGCACCGACTCAAATGGACGTGGCCACGTCGTGCTCTGATCCCACCGATGATCTGATTCCCTCGTCCTCGAATTAGTCCGACCGGCCAACTGGTGCTGCGTACACTCTCGACATCGCCTATTTCGTTCGTAACTCCCCCACTCTCCAAACGTACCATAGTTTACTTATTGCTCATAAATACATGTGATTTTCTCTGTTTGGTCTGTGGAGTTCGTCCTGGCAGATAGCGGCAGATAGCCAAAAATACAAGTCCGTAACGCTTGCATGTGTTGCCGTTTCAACCTTTTTCTATACAGTCCTTCGATGCAAGTGGCGCCGTCGAAGACCCTGACGAAGCCGGCAGGCAAAGACCGCGGCCGTCTCGCGGCCAGCAGCGTGGATCTATGGGCTATCGGCATCACGATCGTCATTGGCGGGCAGTTCTTCTCGTGGAATGCTGGCCTCGTGGTCGGTACCGTGGGGTTTGGGCTCGCGGTGGGGGTCGTGGGGGTTGCGTACCTGTGCTTGGCTTGTTCGATGGCTGAAATGTCGAGCATGCTGCCGTTTGCGGGGGGCGTCTACGGGTTGTCAAGGTGCACGCTGGGGTTTTACGCAGGGTTCATCTTGGGCTGCTGCGAAATCCTAGAGTACGTGCTGTACGTAGCCAGTGTCAATGTCATGTTGGGCAAGACTGTGGTGGGGCAGTGGTCTGAGCTGGAGCCGTTCCAGCCAATTGTGTGGATGATCTCGCATGCGCTCGCCATCGCAATGCTCATCGTGGGCGGCCAAGTGTTTTGGCGGGCCAACCTCGTGTTGGCGCTGATTTTAGTCGTTCAAGTCGTCGTGTTTATAGGCGGTAGCGCGCCGTCCGTCAACTTTTCCGCCTACGCGGGGGGACCTGAGCACTACTTTCAAGGCTCCGCGTCGGACTGGGTGGCGACCCTCCCCACAGCCATGTGGTTGTACGCAGGGATTGAATCTATCAACACCCTTTCCAACGACGTCGACAACCCCCGGGGGGCCATTCCTAAGGGTCAAATGAGTGCCATGACAACCGTGTTCCTATCGTCCGTTGGCATTTACATCATTGCCATTGGCTTGCCGCCTGGCATTGACGCATTGCCATCTACCCGCGCGATCTTCAACGGGGGGTACCACACCCTCTTTAACCTGTCGGACACCCACACCACGCTGCTGTCGATTCCCGCGTGCTTTTCGTCGACGCCGGGGTTTCTCTTTGCCTCCGGAAACATTCTGTCGGCAATGGCCGAGTCGAAATTGTTTCCCCGCGCGCTGTGCCGCCGCCACGTCACGTACGGCACGCCCATCTACGCCCTCCTGGTCACTTCGGCGATGAGTTTCGGCCTTTGCTTTGGGGAAATGTATGCGCTCGACGCAGCCAGGGTGTTCTACCACTCCAGCATGTTCTTTGGTACGGCTGCGTACACGGCGCAATGCGTCGGGTATGTGTTCCTCAAGAAACGCTACAAGAACATACCGCGAACATTCCGCAGCCCGCTAGGCGTCGCCGGGGCGGGGGTCGCCATCTGCGTGTTTACCCTGTGTGCCCTGTCCATCCTCATGTTCCAAGATACGCAGACAGGGACCTCCAAGGCGGCCATGGTGGTGGTGTTGGCGGTGCTGTCCATGTATTACCACCTGTTTGCCAAATCCAGGCAAACAATCTCAGACGACGAGCAAAAGCTGCTCTTTTTCGCCCACGTTGGTATGAGTTCGACATGTGTATTTCATGTAGAGTTCGTTTGCTTTGTCCTACGTCTGATCGAAGTTTTACGTCCAATTGAATACGTCTCATGACACTTGTGGCTTGCGTGTAGCCAAGCACAACAACTCCAAGAAACGGAACCGCATGACGCCTCGAAAGCGGTTGCTGCAAACCGCGGTCAAGGTGCTCATGCTAGGTGGCCGTAGCCCCCCCACAGCCGCGGCGACGTCCGCCACCACCACCACACGCCGAGCCAGCATCGCCACTGCCGTGACTGCGTTTAGAAACCTCCCCAACCGCCCAGCTATACCCGACGCCCCACCCGGTACAAAGCCACCCCCAACTGGATCGAATGCTAACCCAACGCTGCGATGCTGAATGTGCCCCCCCATGTGTACACAATCCGTCGGTCGACCCACCCCCACCAAACTCGATTTGTTGTTGTCTCATTCCCCGCGACTACCTAGTATGACCAGTCCCTACGACGACTAGTACTAGTACTACTACTACTACGACCCCAGCTGCTGTTTCGCCGCTGGTGAGGAAGACGTATCGACGGGGGGTAAACACATGGGACTAGTAGCGCTTAACGTCGGTCGTACAAGGCGCCTGTGTGGATATAGTGGGAACATCTCGTTTGGTCGTGTGCTGCGTGGTTTTGGACGTGGATGGTGGCCCAACTTGTAACATGCGACGATGTAACAACTTGTACATGTTTGCCAGTCGGCCTCGCTGCTTTCGATGCTTGTGTTTGGCGCCGTTGTGGTTGGCTACCACGTAAATACTTATATACATATACAGTATATGACCAACCTACTGTATATGACCAACCGTGTAGTAAACCCCATCAAGTCGTACGTACCCACATGCACGAAGAACAGGACTTTGCGTTCGTCTTCCGACATGATTTGCCTCGTCTTGGCATATCCGTGGTAATAGATAGACAACGCCACGACGAATGCCACCATGATCACATGCGCCGCATGGCCGTCGTCTTGAAAAAACGCAATCGAAAGGACACACAACGTAAACGTGAGGGCGGCAAAGACGGCGCCGGCGACCCCGAACGGACTCGTAAACGTGCGGGGCATGGAAGGGTACCATTTCTTCAAAAATAAGTACCCGACACACTGCGACGTGTAGGCCAGACAGCCAAAGAACATGGCGAGCAAGTAAAAAACGGCGTCGACGCCGGGGTGGAAGAACACAAAGAAGCACAGGCCAAAGCTCGCGAGGGTCGTACAGCACAGCGCCCGGATGGGGGTGCCGAGCGAGAAGTGGCGCCGATGGAGGAAGTGCGGAAGCAGCTTCGAGTCGGCGAGAGCTGTGACGATGTTCCCGGACGCTAGGAGGAACCCCGGGGTGGACGCATAACACGCTGGAATCGACAGAAGTGTGGCGGCGTCGTCGTGCAAGTTGAATATTTGGACGAACCCGCCGTTGAAGATAGACAGCACCGTCGGCAGTTGCCGCACGCCAGGGGGGAGGCTCAGGGACATGACGTAAATGGCCGTGGCCGTGACGAGCAGCGTGGCCATCGCCGCCACCTGACCTTTGGGGATAGTCGTCTTGGGGTTGGTCACTTCGTTGGGCAGCGTGTTGAGGGCTTCGATGCCAGTGAAGAACCACATTGCCATTGGGAACGCGCGGACGAAATCGAACACGGATGACCCGTGAAACAGCCAGTCCGACCCGCCCCCATGCTCCCATAGGTTGGCGTACGAAGCCGAGCCAACGCAATACATCAACACAAACCCGACGAGGGCGATGGCTAAGGCCAAGTTGAACCGCCAAAACACTTTGCCGCCCACACATAGAATGGCCAGGGAGAAAGCGTGGGACGCGAACCACACCACCGGCTCGTACGGCTAAGTGGCCACCACGCCGACACCAGGCGACCGAGTGTCACATTCACACTGACCACATACAGCAAATACTCTAGGATTTCGCAGCAGCCCAAGATGAACCCTGCGTAAAACCCCAGCGTGCACCTTGACAACCCGTGGACGCCCCCCGCAAACGGCAGCATGCTCGACATTTCAGCCATCGAACAAGCCAAGCACAGGTACGCAACCCCCACGACCCCCACCGCGAGCCCAAACCCCACGGTACCGACCACGAGGCCAGCATTCCACGAGAAGAACTGCCCGCCAATGACGATCGTGATGCCGATAGCCCATAGATCCACGCTGCTGGCCGCGAGACGGCCGCGGTCTTTGCCTGCCTGCTTCGTCAGGGTCTCCGATGGCACCACTTGCATGCAAAACTAATTTCACGACTAAGGATAAGGTGGTGGTCCAAGTGTCTTTCTATTGTCGGTTACAACAAGAGGTCACCGACCAATCCGCGCCAAGGACTACCCTTGGCATGGCGCTGATTGGCTGGCTCATTATAGATTGAGGCGACTGGTCACACTACTGGACGAAATGCACACATGTAACGCATGTAACTACTGAATCGTCGGTTCGGGTTTATCGTCGTTTTTCGCAGGTTGGTCCGGCGTGGTGACTTCCCCTTCTTCCGGCTCTTCGGCGTCGTCGCTGTCCATGTCGTCAATCGTAAACGTCGGCACGCGGCTTTCCGACGCAAGTTCCATGTCCGTCTCGTCGTCGTCATCGCTGTCACCGCCGCCTTCTGTCACCGGTAGCTACATTGCACATCAATTTCATCCCCAAAAGGGATATAAAACGGCAAAGTGATGGCCGCATACCTGCGTAGAAAAGGCAAACTGGGACGACCGGGCGGTGGGGCGCCAGATCCAGCACATTGCGAGCGATACGATAAAGTTGAGGAGGGGCCACGCCACCAACTGCATCCATTCCCATTCAATCTTCCACTCAAACACTCCAAATCGACTAACTCACACATTTCGTGAGCACCATCATCGTATGGGTGGAGTAGTTGTAACTGAAGGTTGAAGAATGGAGCCAATCAGATTGCACGAATTCATCGTCACCATCGAAGTATTGGTCAATCATTAGCCAATCAGATTGCACGAAACCATCGTCACCATCGAAGTATTGGTCAATCATTAGCCAATCAGATTGCAGGAAATAATTCTACGATCAAATTAAAAGGACGAACAGAATGAATAAACTCGTGTGATATATTTGTTACAAGGACGAATATGTATAACATATAAAATAGGCACAGACAGTATAAAGTCGAATAATTGAATTGGGCCAATAGTAATAATGTATATATATATATATATATATATACAACACAAATGGACGCACCCGCAGACCGATACTAGCGTGAGGAGCGAAAAGAACACGACAAAGCTGGCGAGGGCCCACGCAAGTGACTTGTACATGGCGAACTTGGCCCACTGCTTTTGCACTTGAAGTTCCTTGAGGATGGTTTCCAGTGCCACGTAAATCCACAGCACAAACGACAAATTGCACAGCAACTGGAGAAACGACCATACACTCGGTCGGGTACGGTGCGCAGTTTGGGGGTGGTCCAGCGATCCGTCTCGCCATAAATCGTCCCCGACACCTGCATCTTGGTGTTTGTATGTCGTGGACGAGATAAGGAAAGAGTGTACCCGTGCCAAAGTACGCCAGGGACAAAAACACGATAAGCCACTTTTGAATCGGCGGGAGAAAGTTGCGCACAATCCCGTACCCGAGGCACACGACAAGGAGCAACGCCCGAGCAATCGTGCGCATCCCCACCTACATCAACCATGAGCCGCGGAAAACAAAATGAACCTTACGTCAAACACGACGGCGGTGATGTACAGCGGTGGCAACGGCCACCGAAACGGCTGGCCTTCCGAGTTCATTTGCGCGAACGCCATAAACCAAATGCTGCTTGACGCTAAGACAACGGATATATATATATATATATACTATACTCTGGAGATCCCCGGGAAACAAAACGAGTCTTACCGACACCAAGCCCCAACACGGAAAAGATGCCATATTGAAGGCGGATCAACGTCCGGCGGTAGCAAAGCAAAAGCAGGCCAAAGAACAGCGCCAGGGCCAAATACCCCAGCGCAAGGAAGCCACTACATACAAACCCATCAACACAACCTCCCCGGGAAACAAAACAGACCTAAACGGCAAGAGGCCGTAAAATACCGCCGGCAACAGCCCATACGGGTTGAGCACGGTCAACGTGCCCGTAAAGTCGAGCGCGTCTTCGGCCCGACTACCTTCCTTCGTGCACACAGCCACCACGGTGTCGACCCACCCGCTCAAGAGGACCTTGTACGACGTCGTCGCGATCAGACTATGGTTGAACACTTCGAACTCCTCGTGCGTGAAGTGGTTGCTGCCGTCCGTGGCAAAGATCTCCTTCTCGGGGGTGCACGCAAACATGTAGATGTTCTCCTCCATCTTCAAGAGAAACGACAGGTCATCCGCGTGGAAATGGTACACCACGACCTTCCATCCGTCCATCCTGGGGGTCAGATGCAGCCCTTCGATCTCCATATCGATGCGAGACTCGCCCGACGAACTGAGAAACGGCCCTTGGTCGGTCGCAAACATCTTCTCGGCCCGCTGCAGCGCAAAGTTGAACGGGTTCGACGCCGCATCGGTCATTTGGATGTTGTGAATTTTGTACAGCGACCCCATCACGGTTTGAGCCAGGAAGAACAAGGCCATCGCCATTCCTGCGGCGGTGCGGCGCCAAGGCATCGTCATGGGTGCGACCAAGATTACAATAATGGCGATTTGACCTCCATCCCAGAAATCGCACTTTACCGAACCATGATAGCGTTCCAAACCAGATTTTGAGTGTCAATTCTTTCCCTTTTCGATATATTATTAGTCAAAATCTAGAGTTTTGAGTCTCAAAACTTGAGTTTTTCACAATATTAAGATACTGTAAGGACGTGCGAGTACCGCACCCAAAGCAGCCATGGCAAGAGGAGCAACGACCGATGGGTCGCGGTCTCCGCGGCGACGCCGCCGCGATGACGAGGAGAATGGCAGACGGGAAGGACGGTCCATCCAAAGAGATCGGCACCATCGCTATGATCGAAGCGCAAGTCCTGAACCCCGCCGTCGGCGTTCGCGTAGTCGAAGTCCAGTAAGCACCTCGCAACGTCGCAGCAGATCGCCCCGACACGATCGATCAAGCAAGGACAACCTAGATACCCTCCACAAGCGTCCCCGTGCGTCATCGCCCTCTCATCCATCATCATCCCGCTCAAATGTGCCGTCATCCCGAGCCCCGCCTCGACGCATCGCGCCAAACGTCGGGCTGCTCGGTCGCCTCATGCAATCGACGGCCAAGTCGCGGGACAAAGAAGACGAGCGGGAGCGTCAAGTGGCCGATCAAAAGCTCGCCGCGCTCCTGCCCCCTCGTCGATAACCACATGCATCAATCGTTGTACATACATACACAAATATCTTCTATTCCCGTCATCTACTTCAAATTAGCGTGCATGTGCTGGGACGCCATGGACTCGCGGATGATGGCGCTGCGGGATATCTTGTTGGTCGCTTGGTACAGCTCCATGGGCACTGGGCGGACGTTCTCGCCGACAATCACATGCGTCGCGCGGTCGTACGGAAACAGCTTGAGCGCATCTTCGGTAAAGAACGCCGTGATCTTGAGCTTCCGCAGACGGACAATGTACACACCGTCGTCCCGCACTGCCGTGACGAATCCCGATCCAAAGGGCGGGCATATCACGCGCTGGTCCACACTGTACCTGGGCCTACACAATCCAGTGGTGAGTTGGGGGATTCGGGGTTGCGGGGTTCCGGGGGTTCGGGGTTATACAAGTGTATATCCGTACCCTTTTTTGACCAAGTCGTCAAACGACGATTTGACCGACAGCGCTTGGGCTTTGAGCACGCCGTTCGCGGACGACAGCATTGACGACGACGAGATCACGGCTTGCTTGGTCTTCTCCATAAGCGACGAGTACGCAACGGCGGCGGCGGTCCGGCGGTTGCTGCCGACGCCTTCCGGAAAGGTCGTCGGCATCTGCGACAGTGCTACGTACATCCGGACAACAGACGACGCAGCGGCGGTCAACGTGTCGAGCGAGCACGTGACGACGACACCATCGACAGGGCTACTACTAGTACTACTAGAGATAGCGACGATCGTCGCGGGCCCAAACACGGGGCTGCGCAGGACGTCGCCGACCATGTACTTGCCATGCCGCGGGGGTTGCTTTGATGGCATCAAGGACGGGGCTTGGGGCATCGACGGCAGGTGAAACTTGGGGAGCGTGAACGAGTACGATGACGTGGCAAGCGGAGACGCCTTCTTCACGAGCACGGGGGGATAGACAGCGTACAGCATCGCATTTTGCGATGTGAGGTGGATGTGGTAGACTGGAACGTTGTCGCACATGGATTGGGCGACATGGACCACCCGTCCGGGGCCGTACACTGTCGCAAGGAGGTCCCCGGTGCCGAAATCCAATGGACTGTACGACCCCTGTTGAAGGTACCCCACCGCGCCAGGTCGTACAAAGTGAACGCGGGCCACTCCGTCCAGAACCCGCTCTAACCGACCTTCACCAAACATGGGCGACCATACCGGTGGCGGCACCGCCGCCGCAGGAGCCTTGACCGAGTTGAGGCGCATGATGGAAACGTACGAAGCAGGGGACGGCCGCCACGACGACACGGAGCTCATGCGAAGTGCCGTGGACGAGTACGAGTCGCCAATTGTCTTGGACACGAGCTCCCGCGCGGCGGTCGCGCGGGACGCGAGTGTGGCGCTGGCCAGCGTGGGGATGTCAAACATCTTGGTCGTGGCCTTCATGCGCCACACGTGGTCGTCGTCCCAGCGCCAGTCGAGCGCAATGCTGTACTTGTCGTCGTCCACGTAGTAGTGCTCCACCGTGGCCATGCCTGCATCATGTACGGTCAGAAGGACGACATACGACATGAAGAAGAGAGGGAGAGAGGGGGGATGTGTATATACCCCATTTGGTCTTGACGCGGTCGCCAACCATGCACTTGACCTCCCGCACGACGCATGTCGCGTGGAAGAACGCGACCGCGTTGTACACCGTGCGCACGACGTACATCCGGTCGGCGTCGCGGTACTGGAGCACGATCGCCGTGCCATACTTGGTTGCGACGTAACTCCCGTCCGGGTACCGCTCCACGATGCTGAGTCTGCTTTACCCATCTGAGTTCTCCATGTCCTGTCTCGTACATGATGTGACGTACCCGCTTCTTCCATCGTCGTCGCCATCGACCTCGGGGCTGCTATCCTCCGCACTCTTCGTCTTGCCGAATGTCATTTTCTTGAGCAGATTCGACGAAAATGAAGACATGAGCGTCGTTGACGCGGTCTTTTGCCGCTTGTGCTGGTTCGGTTGCTGCGGGTTGACGTTCTCCGTGTCGTCGTCGTCTGGAACTGCATCCAGTCGCTTGTTCGTCACGGCATTAGACGACGAGCGCGACTCCTTTTCGTCGGCTAGAAGCTGGTTCTCCGTGGCGGAGTTCGCGGAGCGGGAGCGCGCCCGCACGCGCGCAAACAGGTTCAGACCCACCATGTTCCAATGACTTTCGGAACTGACAGCAGAATAATGTGCAAGAATTATATGTATACTACTGTATGTAGTAGTATGTATATGTGATGTACTTTATAGAAAAACTGCACGCCCTCTGGCTAGTAAAGCGATTGTTTATTTTATGCATTAGACGTTTGTATACTGTGTCAATTAAATTGGTTTCGTGCGAATCTATAAAAAGGACGCCTGATTATAATTATTTTTTTGACGAAGGAAGTGAGTAGACAGTCAAGCGCTTTCTTCGCGACAGGCCACGCGGATGCAACAGAATGTGGCCTCCATACATGTGTACACATGTTCATACCGCTAAGTGAACACATGACGCACGATATATTAACTATCCTAGGACTTGTTGCCCACGACCTTGTAGCATTCCTTGACGAGTTGGCTCTGTCGACTGTTAAGGCCGATGAACCGGTGCACAGGGAGCCGCTCATCTCGATCCGAGTACCCTGCTGCCAGGGTGAGCCACATACACATCATGCATAGCACACCTCGTTTTCCGTGCGGCGGCGACGAAAAGATCTTCATGGATGGCGTTTTGGTCGTCGGTTCCATCGTCGACGAAGGAGCATGGTGGTACTGTTGCTGCGATGATGGAGCTTGCATGGCTGTGGTCCGGACGGGGGTGGTCTTGCGCGCCTTCAATGCATCCTTCCATTGATGTTTCCAAAAGTCGCTTCCGCTGTCCACGAGCGGCGCCGCGTCAAAGCGCTCGCTCTTGGGCACATAAGCGAGGCTGCTCTGCATGGAGTGCGACGAGGACGCGCCCACGGACGCTTGGTTGAGAGACATGTGGTACATGTTTTGCACATTGGACAGACGATCCAACTTGTCGCTGAGCTCCCGCGTCAACGCCTTGTACTTGTGCAATTCCAGCAGCGTTTGTTCCTTCTCCACCGTGGCTTCGTGCAGGGCGACGTGCTTCAACTCGAGGTTCTACGAAAACGCATGAGGATGTATGTCGTGGGGGGAACAGCGAAGTACGAATCGCAAGTCGCGCAGGTCCTTCTCGTAGTTGGTGTGCGCGGACTGGTTCTCCAGCGCCTTGACATGCTCGTCGGTCTTTTTCTCTTCGTACTCCCGAAGCGTCTTGTACGCCGCCTGCAACTCCTTCCGTTGACTCTCTAAATGCCGTCGCAAGAGGTCGATCGTCTCGGACATCACAAGCACCTGCTTCTCCGCGTCCGACGCGTCGTTCAATGCGTCGATATCGTCCATGTCTTCGAGGTCGGGGTCCATGTCCAGGCGTTGGTTCAATGACACCATCGCGTCTTCCGCGGCGGTCGAGGACGAGGGCGGCAGTTTCGTCTGTTCAAACAACTGTGTCGCCAACGATCGGTACCCTGCCATGTCGATTGCCGACCAAGTGAAAAGGCAACAAGGCCAGGAGCGGCGGTTTCACATTGAAACTATCCGGTAAAATGTATCCTCGTATCCGGAACTCATTTAATTATTGATATTAATTGAGATACAGCCAATCACAATGCATCACCTAAAAATGGCATCAAAATCAAATCGTCCTCAAATCGTCCTTACTACTACGCAGTAATAAGAATAGTGTAAATCACATGATTGGCGGTAAAATCAGGAATAACGCCTTTCAATTGGCTGAAATTAAACCAGTCAACGACTCCTGCGTGGCTGTATAAGCGTGTGTGTCATCGGTATTGTTCCCAAATGATCAAGCTGTACGCACTTCTTGCCGGCATCGTCGCCGTCGTCGCCGCCGCGGACGTCGAAGTGGATTATCGTGTGCCCGTGAAGATCATCTTCCGTGCATTCTGCCCTGCGTGTCAATGGTTTATCAGTGATCCCGTTCTCGCATTACTCCAAGATGACAAGTACGTCTTGAATTTCTCTTGTCGTTGTCAGTCACCCTACTCACATCCCGCTCGTCGTAGATTCCGCGCCGTGACGAAAATCCAGTACCAATCTTAGATGCACCCCTTTCGCATCGAATGAACATGCGTTGCTTCATCTAGATATGTTCCCGCGGCCGCCATGACCGAGTCGGCCGACGGCGGCGTGGAATGCGTTGGCGGGAAGGCCGAGTGCGACGCCCATTTGTGGATGGCGTGCATTCTCGATCGTTTCAAGGCATCCCCCAAAAACACAAGCACCCACATGGCTGTACACAACAGACACCCAAATAGAGCTGACGTTACCTTCTACTAGTGCTTTGAAAGCGACGACTCGGGGTATACGTGGAGCGACAAGATCGCGTTCTGCTTCAAGGATGCCGCCGATGCCACTGCGTTACATGAATGCAAGACTGGCCACGGGATCAATCTTCTCCGCGAGGTAAGTACTCCCATCGAGTATTATCCCTGACATATGTCCATATTTGTGTAGTTGATGGTCGTAGCCAAAGCTTTCGAAGGCGCGTGGCAACCTTATGTAACACAGCTCTTTCTTCCATATCTCTCGAGTGTAGTTATATCTTGATGCTGTGTAGACGATCATCGAGGACACTTTACTGGGCAGTTCCACCTCTGCAGTCACCCTGGACATGCTCCAAGACGAGATTTGCCGCCGCTACAAAGGACCTGCTGAGGTAAAGTTGATTTATCGTTTTATATGAATAATTTGTTTATTTATGAAAAATTATGTATAAATATTGTTTCATTTATATATATATATTATAAATGAGTTTCATTTTTATACATTATAAATAATTTGCATTTATGTTCTGTTTTTATACATCTATTCAATACGTCTCACATAAGAGCATTCTGAGGACTGTAGCTGCTCCCAGCGTACTGCCAGACGGTGGCTGGTGTCGTGATGCGTACACCACCTCCGTTGTTGGTACCCCAGCAACTGCAGCCAGTGGCTGAAAAGGTCAAGGTTCAAGTCATTTGGCGAGCGTACTGGTAACGTTACTCAAGTCTTTGCACGCAAATTGAATAAATATAATATTATTGTAGCCCCGCATGCAAATGGTTCCTTTCCGGCCCGCTGTACGAAGTGCTCAGTGACCCAGCGTACGTATATCACGTTTTCGAGGTTGTGTTTTACTCATATTCCCCTAGGTTTCAAGCGATCGTCGACTTTGAGTAACTATTGACGCCATATGTTGGTCGCCAAATGATAATACGATCTAGACTGTATCCCTCGGGGACGACCACGGAAGTCTCTCCTGGGGCGTTCAAATGCATTGGAGGCCAATCTGAATGCGTGGGCCATCTGTACATGAGCTGTGCGTTGCGTTTGTTTCCACAGATTCACGACGTGGCGGCCAATCTCAAGGTGCGTTTAGTATATACTAAATAGTTCGAACCTTTCGCTCGACAGTGGTCGCCAAATGTTAGTATTGTCGTTTTACCCCAAATTTGGACTTTTGTGCGGATTCGCCCAATCTATTGATATATCGATTCTTTGGACTGCCTTTTGTATGTAGTGTCACACTAATTTCAGTCGCGCACTACTGTGATGATATATTTGGTCGAATAGTCGATTTGATTGGCCATTTGATTAGAATTCTGGGTTTTGATTGGTCAATCGATTGTCTGCTGATTTGTTAACTCGAATTAACATTGACGACCTCGAATTGAAAGACCACGTTTGTTTGTTTTCTTTAATGTGTGATTGCATTCTTTAATGTGTGATTGCATTCTTTAATGTATGGACGCATTCTTTAATGTAAAAAAATGCGAGTAGTGTATGGAGGACAGTCATCACAAGTGGGAGCGACGCATGTCCACGTGCTTTTCGGGGTCGGCTCTGGACCAAATCAAGGCATGCTTTGCCTCGAACGATTCAAAGCAATACTTGCGCGAGTACATCGCCTTCACGTCCACGATAGACCTGCCGTGGGTGCCTTTTGTACGCCATACATCGCCTCCTTAAGATGCTGCTGACGCTGTTTCATGGTATAGACCAAAGTGAACGACAAGGTGCTGGGCACGCCCACGTCAGGAGTGGGATACGATTTGCTCACCAAATCCATTTGTGACGCGTACCGCAGCGAGGTACCTATAACGTCGGAGGGGGTTTGTAATATGACGATGAGTACAGGAGAATCGCCCCAGTGTATGTGCTCCATTGGTGAAGGATCCTCTGGTTGTCGCTGCTGCAACCGAGCCCTTGGTGGTTGAAGCGGTTGGGAGTGCGACCACGACGACGCTGGCCGTACCCACGGGCACCCCTGTCGCGAAAACGACCCAACAAGCAGGAAAGGCCAAGGAAAAGAAGCCCGTCATGCCCTGCCGTCAAAAGGAGAAGGGATTTGTGTACGAAGACCCACCAGGGATCGGCTTGCGCGCGACCCCAGGCGCGGTAGGACTCGCCGCTGCTCCAGTCAAGTTGTCCAGCTCGACCCCATCGTCTCTTCTCACGAATCCGCTGTTGCTGCCCATGCTGCTCATCGGCGGCCTCTTGTTTGCCGCGCTTCGGTATTCGAAACCTGAGGAGAAGAAAATGTAGTGGTACCCATAATCGTTTCGAAAACGCGACCTTCACTCGTTGTATTAAATGGAAAATTGGCTACTACTCTGGTCCATGATTGGTGGACGACCACCATCATTCCGGAACTTATTGAAAGATTCTCACAGTTGGTGATGTCCTTTGACGGCGACCTCATCGACGCTGGCAACGACCCCGACTGGAGAGCGACAACCTCGTGGAGGTGCTGGAGCGATGGTACTTCTGTCCACCTGTTGCGGTGTTGGTGCTACGTGTGATGAATGCACAAGAACGGTCCCCTTCTAGAGGCACATTCGTTTACCCCAGAAAACATCGATATCATCGCTTGAAGCGATGATACAAGCCAGGAAGCGAATCGCTTCCTGGCTTGTGGTCTTGACGATCCCTTCGGCGACTTTGGTTTCCGTCGTCGTCCGAAAACTCAACTGGTTCTTGCTTGTGGCATCCACCCAGCCCATGACACTTCTCTTCACCGGCACTCTGACGTGAGCTTTCGCCGCCACACCTCGTCCGTAGCACATTCTCTCCTTGTCAACATCCAGCAAGCCGACCATGCTTTGGCACTTCTTGCCTGTGCGAGCGACGTTCCCCCTTGTCATCAATGATTCAAAAGTGTGCAGGTAGCCAAGGTAACCAACCTAGCATTGGACTGGACACTTTTGTTTGTTCGAGACGTTGTTCCGTGGATAAAAAACGCCAACGTGGCATGCTAACCACGCTTTTGCAACCCACTGCCGCGTCGATCTCGACGTTTGAAACGAAAGCGAACGTGCTTCAATATGCCTACCCCATGACATTTCGAACGAGTGGATCGTAGTTGCGGGCGCGAGCTTGGTCCCGTCGACAGATGACTGCACCCTATCAACCTCGTCGTATCTGTAGAAAGACTCGTCTGTCCATCTACTCCTCGCATTGTCCAAGGCAGACTGTTCACCGCGCAATTCGCCCTACATCACGGCGTGTCCTGCTGGCTCGAGGTCATGTGGCAATATGCACCTATGACGGCAACCCGTCGACTAGTTCGCTATGTGTCGTAAGTGAGATGCCTCGAGAAGGCCATGGAGGAGGTGCGCTGGGCCGTACTAGTATCAAACTAGAGTGACATGACTTGGTTCGACAGGATCGATCATGTCGACAAAGAGGCGTGTCCGGTGTGTCTTGAGCCAGTGGAGACGCCACTCGACACGATCGAACCGCCTTGCATTCGTTTCTGCGCTTGGGAGCGATGCCACATGTCCTCCACGTCGGCTCTCAGCTCGTCGCGCGCGCGTTGTGTGGACACGACAAACCCAATCCACTTGGCCCGCCTCGCTCAAGTGTTGGAGTTATCGGTTACCGAATATTGTAGCCACTCGAAACGCGTAGCCGCGGTGGTCGTGGCGTCCGTGCACCTACGACAGGAATGGTGTGCTCCCTAGACCACATCATGGCTTGAGCAGGTTGGCAACACTTGATACCGATACCGTAGTAGGCAGTCCACATGCAAACTTGATGGAATTGCCCTTATCATCGACGTGTGAACCATTAAAGTAAAAGTCTCTAATGCGAAAAGTCTTTACTATTCAGCCAAAAGGCTATAAATCGCTAGATCTGGTTTCGCAATGCCAAAGTTGGCGCTGACAAGTGGGATCATCCGTGTCAGGTGGTGTCGTTGCGGCTGCATTTCCACAACGAACGGGTTGTCCACTGCTCGGTGCACCCGATGGTCAACTGTTTTGACGACGTGGCTACACGTCCGGATACAATTGCGAATAAATACTCTATTTGCTCGAAATTGGCCAATGGAATCGCTAAAGCCAGAAAATGGCCAATCGAATTACTAGAATACTTATTAATCGTAACGGTAAACAGCCGCCATGCCGAGATGAAGGTCTAACATTATTCACGAAAAATAATTCTCCGAAATACTTGTACTGTAACATTATCTGTAAGATACACTACCAAGTGGGATAAACTGGGATTCATGTTTGGATGTATTAACAGTGTACTAAGTTATTACTAGTAATACTTAGTGCAAGAATAGCAAGCACCACACGTGGGTTGGAGACGCAGTCTCCTCTTGTCACTATGATGACGTCAACAATTATTGTGCATGGGAATGCAGCTGGGATAAATTCGATGATTGGGCACACGGGTGATTATTAATCTTTGTTGTGGCATCAATTTAATGACGTAATCCTATCCAGTTGGTGTTTCGAACGTGACCGAACTTTGGGCACGACAGGTCATTTTGAGATTAACGATGGCAGCAGTGAAGAAGGCATTGCTAAAGGTGGACTTTGTGTCGGACATCTCATGTCCATGGTGTGTGGTCGGCCTCAAGTCACTCGAGCAAGCACTTGCGCGTCTTCCCAACATCAACGTGGACCTGCACTTTGAGCCGTTCGAGATCAACCCGACCATGGCCAAGGAAGGCGAAGAGATTAACGAGCATTTGGCGCGCAAGTACGGAAGTTCGCCGACCCAGCTCGTGCAGAATCGCGAGCGCATCCGCGTCCGTGGCGAAGAACTGGGCTTTACGTTCACGCTGAGCGCCGGCGGACGGATTTACAACACGTTCGATGCACATCGCCTCATCCACTGGGCAGGCACGAAGGGCCCCGAGGCCCAACACAAGCTCAAGATGGGACTCTTCACCGAATACTTTACCCACGGAAAAGACCCTAGCGCCGAGTCCGTCCTCGTCGACGCCGCCGCTGCCGCGGGCTTGGACAGCGAGGAAGCGCGGTCGGTGCTCACGAGCGGCCAGTTTGCCACCGACGTCAAGAAAGCGGAGGCCAAGTGGCGGTCCATGAACATCTCTGGCGTCCCCGCTGTGATCATAAACAACAAGCACTTGATTTCAGGTGGACAGCCATCCGAGGTATTCGAGCAAGCGCTGCGTGATATTGCCGCCGAAGATTAACCTACTAGTTACGTTACGAATTCCTGTACATCTTAACTGACCTGTGGTATCAGCAAACATACTTCACGTGTATAGTACTACTAGTAGTTCGAAAGGGAAACAGTGTTACTACTACTAGTATAGCTAGCGCTGTTAGTGTCAATAATATATATACACATGTGTGCCTCAGCCTCGACAATAATTCGTTCTTGTGACTTGGGTTTGCCGTTGGGAATATCAGTGTTGTGAGCGTGCCACGTCATATTTGCACTGTCGTGAGTGCGCCACGTCATGGTGGTTTGGATACGAAACCGTTGAAACTGTCGTCGAACACTTCGCCGCCGTTTATCCATCCGAGGACTCCACCTGTGTAAGCAAGTACACAGTACAGTAGCATGGGGGGCAAGTTCTCCCAAGTCCATTACCGTGAACGCGACACGGCGGTGGTGTCGGATTTTGACCTGCTCGTGCAATGTTGGTATGTTTATCCAACTAAACTACGCCCAGCCTTCATCACTGAACATATTCACAGGGGCAAAGTCGAATTGGAGACGATCTCGACGCAACTCCGGCGCATTTCGTTCAACTTTTGCTTGACCCGGGAGCACTTTCAAGAGATGCTGCAGCTGCACCACAACGATTTGTTCCGGCCCGTGGCGCATCGGTGGTTCCACCACTTTAAAAATACAGATACCAGCACGATCGTCAACGGCCTCGAGTTCGTCGCGGCGTTGGCCATCGCGAGCACCGGTACGGGCAAGTTGGTCGAGAAGGTTGGGTTTTTGTTCGACCTGTTCGACTTTGACCAGTCGGGGTGCTTGACCAAGGATGAGCTCATGATTCTCCTCAAGTCGAGCGTTCGGGGGCTCACCAAGCTCACGCAAGGGCTGGGCTTGCAACTCGCCAAACTGTGTCCCATGGCTCAGATTGAAGACTTGGCCGCCGTGTGCTTTCGGTACTGTACATGCAAAATATAACTTTGGATATATATATATATATATATATCAATTGCTTTTGTGATATATTTTCTCGGTTGGTAGCCACTGCGGGTTGGACCCGTCCGACGACCTGCGCCGCGACGCGTTTATTCACTGGGTGCAATGTACCCCCAAGCTCACAAACTTGCTCAAGTGTTACGTGTCAAAAGACAAACTCACCCGAGACGAAGCAGCGGTGTCCATTCAGCGTGTGGCGCGGGGTATGTTGGGGCGCAACTTTGTGGACGAGCTTCGGTTGCACAAGCAGTTGCTGCAGAACCAAGAGCTGGACGTGGCCGCGACCAAGATCCAGGAAGCCATGCTTAACCGCAAGAAGCGCCAGGAAACCATCCGGCGGTCCAAAGTCGAGCGGAATGCATCGAGTGGCGCCATGTACAGCTTTGGCGCCAACACGCATGGGTTGCTAGGCCACGAGTTTCACGAACTGGACAAACCCGTCAAAGATCCCAAGCTCAACGCGTTCTTCAAACACGCCGACCTTCGCGTCGTGTCGGTCGCGTCGAGCCTCGTCCACGCCGCGGCAGTCACGTCGTCCGGCGTCGCATACACATGGGGGGCGTGCGCTCCGGGGGCGTTTGGTACCGTCTTCTCGAAAGGGGGGGCTGCAGGGGGAGGGTCGCCCCCCGACGTCGTCCGCCCGTGCCCCCAGAGGGTGGACGATCTATCAACTGTTCAAGTCACCGCCGTAGCCCTCGGCGCGCGGCATTCCATGGCGCTCACCAGTGACGGCGTCGTCTACTCGTGGGGCTCGGGGGAGTTTGGGCAACTCGGGCACGGCGATATCGTCAACAACGAGCTGTTTCAGCAGCAATTCGACCCACACACAAGTCGGTCGTACCCGATGATCGACCTCCCTCTTCGATTGGATAAGAGCTTGTTTGACGAGATTCAAATCAAGCAGATTGCATGCGGGTACTACTTTTCTGTGGCGCTGGCGGAAGACGGATGCGTGTACACGTGGGGCGAAGGGTCGGATGGGCAGCTCGGCCTCGGCTTGAGCGATGACTTCCACGTCGGGTTTTTAGATGAGTTCATTCACCAGAGCAACTTTACGTACATGCCGACACCGCAGTACATCCACCTGGACGAACCGATGGGGCACGTGGCCGTAGGAGGCAACCACGTGTTTGCTGTGAGCCGGAGCCACCGCACTGTGTTGGAGTGGGGCGCGGCGTTTCGACGCGACGGCGACCCGATCTACCTCCCCACCCCCAACGCCGCTTTAAGCGCGCTGTACGTCAAGTCTATTAGCGTCGGCAAGGACTTTGCGCTCGCGATCACAGGATGCGTCTACTTGAAACTGTCGGGTTGCGAGTGCATGTATGGTCTCACGGCGGCGTTCGGCACGCAGCCCGTGGACTTGTACGTGGGGTTGAGTGCCCCGCTGATTGCCGCGGGGGTGCCCAAAGCCAAGCTCGCGTATGCCGTCAAAGAAGAATGGTCGCAAAAGGTACGCGAAACGTAGCAAACATACTAGTACAGTATTGGGGGGGCAGCAAAAGAGAGTGATGATGATGCAAGAGTTGATGGGGAGGGGGGGTGATTGAGTTTTTTAGGTGGTGTTTATTGATCGAGGCAAACCGACGGGGTCGTGGCTGACTGTTCAATCGGATTCGGATCAGCCCACCGAGCCGCTTACACTGGCATGCGTGGCATCTTCGTTCGGACCTGTGTTTGAGAACGGCACTTTGTACACTGGCCAGTGCTTTTACACGCCCCAAAAGCTGTCGTCGCTCAAGTACTACGTCCGCCCCGAAGAGATCCAGGTAGATCGATACCTTCACCTTCACCTCCACCCCCACGCCCTGTGCTTGCCACGTCATACATTTGATTTAGGGCAAAGTGGTGGTTCTGCACGTGGAGGAAAGTGACTTGCCCGTGCACCACCCCGACGACGACGTAGCGATTGTCGTGGAGCGGTTGATGGTCATGATGGTGGATAAGGTCAAGGACGCCCAGGCGTGCGGTGCCCTCGGCGTTGTGACTGTGTTCAGCTTCATGGCGGATGCATTCAGCTTGGGTACTGGCGACGACGACAAGTTTGCATTTGGCATTCCCAGTGTCATGCTCAGTGCTGCGGCCGGCGCGCGGCTCTTGGCGTACATTCAAGACCACAACCACGCCAACATCCATATGCAACTGTACCACCACGACGACACTCTCGGCGAGCAGGTATCTATAATATATATATATATACATTTGTGCGGCCAATGTAGTTGAGTCGACTATTTATTGTGGATGGATTTCCACCTGATGGGTGTGAATACGACACAGCTGCTCGCGATCCAGCAAGCAGGCGCGGTCGCCGTCGTCGTGGGTCAAAATTCTATCCACAGAATGCCCCAGCGGGTACATTTTATTTCGATTTTTCAACTCAATGACTAATGATAATTCCATTTCTATAGCTGGACGAGTCCGTGTTTGCCGGCCTCGGGAATGCAGCGGCCCATGCCAAGCAAGTGCGGATTCCCGTGCTGACTGTCTCACACGAGGTGCGTTCGTACTATGTATTAGCTGATTTGTTGTATTCAACCATATATATATATATAATTGATTGCAATAGACTGGCACGTTGATCAAGTCCATGTACCAACGCCTGATCCAAGATACATTTGCGGAAATTGGCATTGCCAACTTTGGCGACGTGTATGCGTGGGGGGCGGGAAGTCACGGTGTTCTCGGCTTGGTACTAAACTATTGATATATATATATATATATATTTATTTATTGTCGTATCTTGGAATAGGGGGATGTGGACGACGAGTGCAAGTTTTCTGTCGGGTACGACGCGGTGACCAACACGACGTACCCGCTGGCGAAAACGCCCCAAGTCGTGGACGCGCTGGTGCAAACTCGCATCATGACGTTATCGTGCGGGGACCAACATTCCGCCGCCGTCTCGGGTCTGTCATCATGACGTGTTCATATGTTTGACACAAAGAGGTAGACACGGGCGATCTGTACACATGGGGCAGCGGTGCCCACGGCAAACTCGGCCACAACGCCGCCATCGACCAGGACGAACCCAGCCCCCGTCTCGTCTCAGCGCTGCACTCGGTCAACGTCATCGACGTCGCGTGTGGACCGCAATACACGGTACGAGCGCGTGATTATCGTACGTGATCAAATTCAATTGGATGTAGCTTGTGGTCACGTCACTGGCCGACTCGAACGGCCCGTTGGAGACGGTGCCCCTTTAGCTCGTAATATCAACTGATACACCATTCAGACTGGCTGCCATCATCCAGTCAACCAACACACTTGAGTAGTACGTACTACTCCAACTACAACTAGTTAGCATGCAAAGTACGTACATTGAGCTTGGAGATTAGCCTCGATATATATAGCGCTACTGTACTGATTGAATACACACTACTACGAGTACTGCTCACCATCCTATCTGCATCGCACAATATGCGATACAATAGCATGCAACGTACCTAGACATAATATTCATTCGCTACTGTACTGATTGGATAATATATAGCCTAGATGCCTACAGTACTACTACTAGTTAGTCGTAGTACTGTAGGCATCTAGGCTATATCTAAGCAAACCAATCACTACACTAGTCCATACTCGTATATCCTATTCCCTATGAACGACTACTTTAACATCGACACGACCCATGTATTATTCCCTAGCTGGAACTTGATCCGTTCATGGTTAAACTACATACGACCAGTGTCATATTGTCCACCGCCGGTCCAAACACTTGCGCTGACACTTGTTTATTTTGCTGCATCACGTCATCTGCGACAAGGGGGAGCGCGCTCTTGTGGTCTGCCATGGCCTTCCACAACACTTGGTTGAAAGCCGCGTAATCCCACGCGTCCCAAATGCCATCGCTGCCCACGACCACGAGCACCGTCGTCCACGCTTCTTGCCTCATCAGCGCCGCCACATCCACTTGAATCACGTCTGGTTGATGGGTAAGTCCAAACGAATGGATGTAAAAGTCGCCCAAGGACCGTGTAAATGCCAGGGATTCGTGGTACTTGGCCTTTGCCGGCGTGCAGCACAGCGACGCCCACTCCTGGCGCACGTTCTTGTAGTAGCTGCCTTCGCCCGCCTTGGCCACGACGTCGTTCACCACGGTAAACACGGGCGACTTCTCGAGCGCAATGTGCTTTTCGCGGACGCTGACCCGCTGGTTCGAGTGGCCGTCTATGAGGCTGTCGTACACAAACAGAAGCTCGGGCATGTTGCCGTGCTTGGTCGAGACGCTTCGTGCCAACGCGGTGCGCTGGAACTCGGTCATGCACTCGGGGGAGTGGTCGCCGCACAGCTGCACCACGGACGTGGATTCGGGCAATTCCACGGGTACTGCCACGGGCGGCAGTGTGTTGTGCTTTCGAAGGAGATGCAGTACACTTGACGCTTGAAGGGATGACCAAGATGCGTCCAAGGGACTGGGCACGCACAGCAACGACGACGAATCGCCAACGTTCGCACAGAGCATGGTAGCCCCGCTGTCGAGCACAACCACGATCGACGCGGTGGTGCCGCCTTGGACTAGCAGGGACTTTTGAAGAATTCCTTGCTTGACGACTAGGTACCCTCCATTGCGTTCTTCGGCATGCAACCTTCGGCGCTCGTAGTATGCTTGGAAGGCCTAGGAAGAAGGTTCAAGTCAGAACGTATCAGGCGGGACGGGAGCATTGTTCTGTACCTGTCGGATGGTGGCATGGCATTCATCAAAGAGGAGTCGAAGGGTCGCTTCGCCGTCAATACGCAATTCTTCGTACGTGTGATCTTGCTGGAACTTGTGCTCGAAGAAAGCTTTGGCTGTTTCGGCAGCGAGCTTGCCATGCGACTTCCCGTGACCATCAAAGACAGCCAAGGCAACATGGGTATTGTGTCGTATCGCTAGGAAGGTATCCTGGTTCTCCTTGACGGTGTTCCCTGGATCTGTGCAGCCATGGACCTGAGCTTGCATGTTGCGACTGTCGCTTTGGCGATCGTTTGCTTCGCGAAGAACGTTGAAATGGTTGAAATGGGGTAAAGGGTTCGAAATATATAGCCAATGACCGTCAAAATGGATAATTCGAGCCAATCCGATATTTCAGATTCAATAACCAATCAAATACGATTAAGTTCTTTTTTATATCCAATGGATGCCCAATATGTTTACACTAAGATCTCCGCAACTCACGAAGCGACACTCCGCGCCGAGATGCCCGCGGCGGCATGGTCGTTCCTACTTTTCATGCTACATTTCGTCACGGGTGACTTGGCTGTACCCCGACCAAACGTCATCAACTCCATCGGAAGCGTCGATGCCCTTCAAAGCATACCCCTGCTAGCCGACATTGTCATCCCAGACGGCAGGGAGCTGTTCATTCCCATTCACATCCCGGCCGTCGCGCTCGCAATCAACGCGAACGGGCCAGCCAAGGTAAACAAAGTGAGCTCTCTGCATGCAAATGGCCTCTTTGGCGTTGGCGAAGTCATCGACATCGACATCCAGTTCACGAGCGCCGTGGACGTCGTGGGAACGCCATCGCTTCGCATGCGCACAGGATGCAACACTCCGTCTTGCCGCATCAAAGAAATCCAATCCATCACGTGCTCCGCCACGAGCGGTACGTACGACAAAACAGCCACAACAACAACATTCTTGGTTCTAAACCACAACACTTTCTAGGCAAGTTTGCTGTGTCGTTCCAAGGCCAAACCGTGTCCAACATTCCATTCAACGCATCGCCCCTCAAACTGACCAATTATCTGCTTCGTCTCACGTCCATCTCGGCCATACAAGTGACCTTTGCCGACGCTGGCACCCAAGCGTGTACGTTCTACGGCACCAAGATCACGATTCAATTCGACCAAGTCAACTTTGTCAGCCCCACCGCCGACGGCAACCTCCCGTCACTCACCACCGACCCCCTCAACCTCCACGGTGACACGATCGCGTTGGCGCACCACACCCGGTCCGTGGTGCTCACTCCCGTTGCCATCGAAGTGCAGAAAGGCGTGGCCCCCACCGACCGCGACGCCGTTTTTGTCGGATTCCGAACCCCTTCGACGCTCATCTTTCGGTACATTGTCGCATACGGCGACCTGTCGCAAGACTTGGACTACACTGCGCCGGACGCGTTGGCGCTCAACACTGGCGGTTCCATCTTCAATGCCGGCACGTTCATTCCAGCGTCGCTCACCCTGCCAGTCCCAGGGCAACTGCCAGCGTGGCCAACAGGGATGGTGTCCAGCCTTGGTGTGAACAACGCCATCGCACTCAACTCCAACATCCCCGTCATCACGTCCGTAGCCACCCCCACGAAGCCAGACGGAATCTATGGCCAAGGGGAACTCATTGAGATCAAGCTCACGTTCTCCCTTCCAGTGACAGTTGTGGGGGCCCCCGTCTTGCTGCTTGCGACGGGGCAAAACGTCGCCAATGCTCCCGTCGTCCGAGTTGAGTCGGGCAATACCGTGCTCGTGGCGCAATACGTTGTCAACGCTGGCGACTTTTCGTTGGACTTGACGTATGTGGATGCGACATCGTTCATTTTAAACGCAGGCGACTCGGTTCTGCGACAGAGTACAACGTCCACCATGCCCGTCAACATGACATTGCCCCCGAATGGTCTACCCGGAAGTCTCTTCAACTTGGCCAACATCGTCATCGACACCACACCGCCGTACATCATGACCGTGTCCAGCGTCCTCCCCGACGGAGTCTACACCACCGGAGACATCCTTGTGTTTTCCATGGTGTTTTCACGGCCTGTTTATGTCACAGGCACACCGCAATTCCAACTCGCTACGGGAAGTATCGACTTGTGTCCGGGCTGGTTTGTTGTACGAGTACCCACGGATGGCAACTCGAATGTATTTCTATTCCCCGAAGCTGTCGACTGGCGGTGGCTCTCCCCTGGTAGCCATCTCGTTCGCTTGACATTACAATTGATGGGGCTTATATTTGTCGTTATAGGCTACTTCGTGGTCATTGCCGGGCGTACGTATACCGTGGCCAGTGTCTCGGGGTATAAAGTTACCATGGTCGAGGCCTATGTAGGGGTTGCTGTGAACCTCGGCACGAACCCAATGTCGCCCCAATTGTCCATCTTCACGCGGGGGTTTCAGTATGCAGTGTACACCAGTGGCAGCACCACGTCCACCCTTCAGTTTTCATACCAAGTGCAGCATGGAGATACGTCGTTGGACCTAGCCGCGGCGTCCGACGTGTTGCTTCCCACATCGACCAGCTCCATCCTCCGCTTATCCACCACGCCCACCACACCCGCCAATCTAGCCATGCCCATCGCGGGCTCGGCAGGCAGTTTGGTTGTCGCGAGTCAGTTGGTGGTCAATACAGACCCCGCCACAGTCCTAAGCATCTCGTCGCCCACTCGAAGCGGCGTGTACGTTGCAGGCAGTATCATCGCCATCGCAGTGCAGTTCACACAACCGGTGGTTGTGGTCGGCCCGAGCGCTCCTGGTCTGCTCACTAACGTGGGCGAGAACCGGTTTGCCATCTACGTGTCTGGATCTGGTACTTCAACGCTGGTGTTTCAGCTCACGGTCGCCCCATCCGACTCGGCGGCGGCGGTGGCGCCCCTCTCCCGCGACGCCATGCGCATGCCGAATGTGTTTACGTCCATTCGCCGCAAGTCCATGAACCCCCTCGACTCGGCTGTGCTGACGCTGCCGCCATCTGCGATGACGTTGGGGGCCACCGTCTTGGTTGTGAATCCGATGGCGGCGGTCGTTTCCCAACTGGTCATGGAGAGCCCCGTATGGCCAATCTCGTCTTTGAAGACTGGGGACGCAGTGATCATCGCCGTGACGTTCACAGAGCCCGTGACAGTGTCGGGGGGAAGTCCCGTTCTCGACCTCACGGTTGGCAAGCCAGCGACGTACGTCTCGGGCTCAACCACGACCAAGTTGTTGTTTCAGTACATTGTTCAGTATGGCGACCAAGTACCCGCGTTCGACGTTGTCTCCCCCGACGCCATTCGTCTCAACGGAGCGGCCATCGTCGCTGTGAACGGTGGGGCTTCGGCGTCTGTCCAGCTATTTTCCCAGCTAGTGTTGCTGATGAGCAACACCCTACCTCCGCCCCAACCCATCCCCGTCGATCCATCGCCATTTCGAGTGACCGCCGTGCAGTCGTGGAGTATCGATGGGACTTACACCGTGGGGGATTCGTTGCTATTGGCCGTGACGTTTTCAGATGCTGTGGTCGCGACTGGCGCGCCACAGCTGGCGCTGCGCACCGGCAACGCCTTGGGGGACCAAGTCGCCGCCTTTCACAGTGCAGACGCCAACGTCGTGTACTTTGTGTATGTCGTTCAAGCGGGAGATGCTACGACGCAGGTCGTGGAGGCGTCGACGTCGGCGTTGCAATGTTCGAACGATGTGGGGCTGAATGCAAACCCCGCAACCGACGACGCTATCGCCGTGTCGATCACTGATTGGTCGAGTCAAGTCGTCGTGTGTTGGAGCGAAGCGGGAAAGGTTCAAGTCCGAGTGTTCAACAACAACCCGAGCATGCCGCTGTGGACGTTGTTATCGGGGGGATTGAATGTGCAAACTGCAGCTAACTGCAAGTGCTCGAGTTCTGGTACCAGCCAACTCGTGTGCTCTTGGGAAGAGCTGGCGGCGGCGGGGGGAGGTGCCACCGTGGTGCATGTGTCTGCGATGACGGGCACTCAAAGCACTCCAGTTTGGACGTTACTTTCTGGCTCGGGACTGAATGTCGACCTCACGAAAAGTGCGTCTCACGTGGCCATTGCTAGTACAAACGTCGGTGTCGTACTCGCATGGCAGGAAGTTGCAGCAAGTAGTAGTAGTACCGTGTTGCAAGTCAAATTCTGGAATGGCAATGTGGGCACGCCGGTGTGGACTGCTGTGGACGTGTCGCCTCTCATGTCCACAACCTCCAACCACCAAGAAGCTCAAATATTTTACTTTAACTCTCGACTGACGCTAGTATGGACCGAAGTCGTGACAGCTACCCGATATAAGGTCCGAGTGGCGGCTTGGGTGACGGGGGCAACTTCATATTGGACGTTGTTGGACGGCAACGGGGCCGGGCTGAATGCAGCGACGCGACTCGCATCCAAGCCAACATGGGCCGTCTGTAGCGCCAAGCTGTACATTGCATGGCAAGACTCGGATACCCTTCGAGTGCAGGTGTACAACAGTGCGGCCAACACATGGGCGTACATTGACGGCGGCGGGGGGCTTCAGACGAGTTCGACGGGGGTCGGCTTTGCTTCCCTTGCGTGCACGTTGAACGGGCTCATGGCAGCTTGGCAGGAAATCGTCGTCAGCAGCGGTGTAACGTTGAACCGAGCAGTGTCGTACACAGCAGCAACCAACAGCTGGAGCAGTCCTACGGGGATTGTGATGGACAACCCGCTGAAGTCGGCCACGAGCACCGGACCAGCCTTAGCCAGGTCGTCCCAATCGATGTATATAGCGTGGACGGAACGCCATGCTGTCAATTTCAAAGCTCAAGTGCACGTCGCTTTGTTTACGCCAGACACAAATTCGTGGTTATCGATGACGTATTCATGCTTGAAGCGTCCTGGAACTGGCTTTGCGGTCCCATATGCGCTCACATTGCCCGGATTGTTTTCACAAGCCAGTTTGGGCGACACCGCCAAGTTGCAGCTAGACACGTCCCCGCCCGTCGTGCTAAGCATCACGCCTCTGTCCCCCCCAGGGCTATATCGAGGTAAAGACTCGGTGCAGTCGATTGCTCTGATAAGTACGGGGGGAAGCAGCAGCAGCGTGGTCACCGGTGGGGGGTTTGCACTGGGGTACAATTCGGTCGTGTCGGCATGTATCGCTTGGAACGCTGCTGCGATGGACGTTCAAAACACTATCAACTCTATGGCGGGGCTTGGATTGGCCGTGTCGGTGACCAAAGATTCAGCGGCCTTTCAGCATGGCGGTGTCCAGTTCAAAGTGACGTTTACGACGCCAGCCAGTGGGGTTCACCCCCTCTCCGTCGAGCCCAACGGATGTCCTGCGCTAATGTGTGCCAATGGTATCGTATGTGGCAAAGTCGTTGTTAATACTGACAAGGCCCTACCGTTGTCGTTGCAGCCGGGGTATGTGGACTTTGAAGTGATGTTTTCCGCACCAGTGCAAGTAACTTCGGGGGGTGTCACGCCTGTGCTAACCTTGTCCAATGGCGTGACAGCTACGTATGCATCAGGGGCGATCGTGCAAGTGATAGATGTGGGCGTGTCATCCCCCAGCATGGTTCTAGCGGGGGGATTTGCCCTTTTGTATGGCGGAGTGCCCACTGCTTGTATCAACGTCGACGCCAAGGCAGACGGTAGCAGCTTTGCGTCGCTACGGTATCGGCTGATGGAACTCCCGACAATCGCGACCATTGGCATTGCCTCCATTCGGTCCCGAGTGTTCCAAAATGGAGTCCGACATGTGATTCACTTTCAGCCTGGAACGCCCCTTCCGTTAACGTATGCACCTGGTATATCCTGTGCTCCACTTGTCGGGGTCATCCAAACCATCGACTTGGTCACTACCGCTGCGGTCACGGGGGGGAGTTTTACAGTGGCGTTAGGGGCGTTAGCCAGTGCCACGTGCCTGCCAGTACTCACCGCGTCGGCGGGCCAGATGCAAGCAGCGCTCAACGCCCTGACCAACAACGAAGTGATGGTCACAGTTGAAAAGCATCCGATTCCAACCGGGGGGTTCCGCTTTGCAGTGACGTTTCCAAACGCACACTCTGCGCAAGCCACGCCGCTGACTGCAACAACAACGGGGTGCACGGCGCTGACATGTCCGGGCGGGGCGTGTTCGCTGGCTGTAAATGCCGACTACACGGTCGAAGTCGCGAGAACTCCGTCGCTGGTCTTTCGCTATGTCGTTCAAGCTGGAGATATCGTGCCGGCGGTGGGGTACGTGAGCTTGACGGGGGACATCGTACAGCGCACCGCTTCGTGGCCTTCTTCTTCTGCGGTCACTCCTGCCATCTTGACGCTTCCCACAACGCTACCTCCCAGTGGCATCCAGATCGATACGCTGTCGACGCCTACAGTTATGTCGGTAACGTCTACCACCCCCAACGGGGTGTACTCGCAAGGCGATCGCATCGACATTGTGCTCACGTTCAGCCAAATCGTCCACGTCACAGGTCGACCCATATCGCTGCAGCTCAACTCGAACGGCGTCGCTGTTTATTCAGCAGGTTCGGGCACCGCCTCTGTCACATTCCAGTACACTGTGGCCGCTGGGGACACTGCCGTAGATCTAGACTGCTTTTCAACGTCGTCGCTGCAGTTCTTAACCCCTGGAGGCGGCATCAACTACCGCGACCCCACCACTCAAGCGTTGACGCCGATTTCAACGAAGCTTCCAATTGGTTCTGCCGCCAACAGTCTCGCCACTTTGTCGTCCATAGTGATCGACGCGGTCGTGCCTTCAATTGTGTCTGTCGTGTCGACGAAACCGAGCGGAACCTACGGCACTGGAGAAGGGATTGACTTTGTGGTAGAGTTCACCCACCCCGTGGTCATAACTGGGACACCGTCGATAGCCCTAAATAGTGGCGGGAGTGCCATGTTTACTTTGGGGGGCACCCGACAACTGCTTGACATTGGCGTCACTTCTGCAGTCACGTCCGGGCAGTTTGCCGTCTGGTATGGAGACGTTCTGACGGAATGCATTAACTTTAACGATGTGGTCATGTTGCGCTCAAAGTTGCTTGATGTGCCAGGCATTGGAGCCATTGGCCTCACTTCGGTGACAACTGCCGCCTTCGGCCGTGGCCAGCGCGTGACGATTGTGTTTACCTCCACGGATGCTCACACTGCGCCCCTCGAGTTGGTACCCGTGGTGCCGCAGCACTGTCTTCCCCTAAGCCCCCCCACTTCGTCCAACTCGCTTCTAGTCGGTCGGGGCTTGGACCAACTAGTCACGTTCCGATACACAGTAGCAGTTTCCGACACCGCGGCGGTATTCGCGGTCACAAGCCCTGCGATTGCCCTCAACGCGGGCACCGTTCGCCGTCGAAGCGACCGACCGTCCATTGACGTCAACTTGGCACTGCCCGCCCTTCCGGCGACTTTGAATGCCATACACATTCAAGGCGGAATTCCGTCGATTGTTCAAGCGGCGATGGTCACGGCGGGGGGGACGTACGGCGTCGGGTACCCCCCAGTGGCTAGCCCTGCTTACGTCAAGCCCGGCCAAATCGTGTTCACGTTGACGTTTTCGATGGAAGTGGTGTTTATTGGAGCGGTGACAATTCAACTGAACACGGGAAAACGCGCCGTTTTGTACGCCCAACTAAGTCCAGTGCAGTTTGCCTTTGTGTACACGATCGAGTTGGGGGATGCCAGTGTGAATTTGGACTTTGCGTCGGTTGATGCCGTCGTCGGGACGATCATGGGGCGATCAACCACCAATAGTCAGCGCGCCAACACGCTCCTCCCGCTCCTCCAACTCTCGGGCGTGAACGTTGTGACTGTTGATCCAAACCTACCCGCGGCCATTCAGTCCGTAACCACGTCTCATCCGGATGGGACGATCGGGTCCGGCGAACGCGTGATTATTCAGTCGACGTTTGGCCGACCAACGACCGTCTTGTCGGGCTTAAACCACAACCCCCTTCAGTCCGCAATGTTTCCGTCTGTGACGGGGATCCAAGGGGACGTGTACATGTCGTGGAGCGAGCAGACGTCGGCCACAACAAGTGTCGTATATGTAGCTCAAGTGGACAACCAAGCTGGGTTTACGGAACTGAGTCCGCCTGGAGCTGGTATGAATCGGCTAGCGGGCAGCAACGCGGTCAAGTCCAGTGTGCTCGTGCAGGACGGATTTCTGTACGCTGCGTGGGACGAAAATGGCATCATCAACGTGGCTCAGTTTAGTGGCAATGTAGTGACTAAAGCATGGACATCTCTTCCGTTTATGGGCACCAACGCCGCGGCGACGAATCCGGTGCTAGCCACGTACATGAACACGTTGTTTGTGGTATGGAAAGAAGGCCAAATCAATTTTCACACGGAGCAATCTGCCAATATCCGCGTGGCGTCGTACGATTCGTCGTTGGCGCCTCCGTGGAGATTCTACGATACAGCGCAAGGCAAAGTCGGCCTCAATCTTGACCGAGCCACGGATCCCCATATCTTGGCCTTTGCTGGTCATTTGTACGTGGCATGGGCCGAGTTTACCGGCGCTTGCTTTGAAATTCAAGTGTACGCCCTCGCCCTGAACACGATGACTTTTGAGAAAATCCCCCAAGTGGGGTACGTTAGCCCCACTTTTGTCACGTCGTTTGGACCGGTTTTGTTTGCCAACACCGCAACCAACCAACTGATGGTGCAGTGGTACACGTACCCGGCCGCCAGCGTCCAGCCGACGATGCACACGGGGGTGGTGACCCCCCAGTACTGGAAGGAAATCGTGGGGGGAGCGCCGATGCCGGGGGCTTCGCCGGATGTAGTCACGTGCAGCGGGCATATGGTTGTGACGTGGACGTTGCAAACCGACCACGCGATGCAAGTGTTTGCAGGTCGACTGGATGCGGCCGGGGGCATCTCGCAGATTCACACGATTAACCACAACATGAACCAAGATGCATCGAGTCCGAAACTCGCTTGTGTATCCAGTGTAGGTGACGTGGCACTGTTGTGGACCGAGTACGATGGGTTTTCGTACAAACTGCGACAGAGTACATTGAGCGGCGGACGGGGGGAGCAGTGGATGCCGCATGTCGCGGGGCTAGCGACGCTAGTGCTGACAAATGGATTGGTGGCAGTCAATACCGACTTAAGCGGCACGTGCGCCCGATCCCTCACGTATGAGCTAGTTGTGCCGCCAAATACTCCTGCGATACAGCACCTGAACGCTGTCTCAGTGTCCGTCAACCGCGCCCGGATCCAAGACTGCACGTCTGCGCAAGTGGCCAACACTGTTCTCTTTCCACTTGCCACAGATATGCGGAGTCTAGCGTATACATCCAATATCGCTGTCGACACTTCGGTGCCATTTGTGTTGGATGTGTCCACCACCGCCGCCTCCAATACCTACGGCGCCGGCGAGATCATTCCTGTTGTGGTGACGTTTTCCGCTGCTGTGACCGTCTCCCCGTCAGGACTGCATGGCGAGTCGCCAGCTTGGATGGTATTTCAAAGCCGAACCGCGTCTATCGACGGGTTACACGAACACAAGGCACTGTATAGCGCTGGCAACAACACAAATACGCTTACGTTCCTGTACACAACCCTACCTACCGACACATTTGCCCTGTTTGACTACATGTTGCCCACGTCTTTGCAAGTGGACGCAGTGGCTGGCGCGTGGATTCGAAGACAAGCGACGTACCCCACGACGGACGCCGTCTTGACCTTGCCCATACCCGGCCACGGCCACTCACTCAGTCGATGGTTTATCGCTGTAGATACAACTCCCCCCAACGTTCTCGATGTCACGGCTACAAACGCCGACGGAACGTACTTCCCCGGCGACGTGATTCACATCGTCGTAACATTTTCCCTTCCTGTGATCGTGACCCTGTTGGAGGAGGCCCCCCCCGTCATCACGTTGGCCTTATCCACTCAACCCATAGCCAACCCGTCGTTGCAAAGCACTGCCACGTATGTGAGCGGCAGTGGCACCACGCACTTGACGTTCGAGTACGTCGTGCAGCCTCTCGATGAAACACCCTTGTTGAGTCTGTTTGACGATCGCCCAACGGGCGTGGGTTCATTTGTAAAGGCACTCGACGCCCCCGTGAACTCAATCTATCGACTAGCGTCCATCCCATCTACTTTAGCCACATTAGAATGTCCTGCCCCAGGAACGTTGCACTCGATGCACCAGAATATTGGGTTGGATTCTACCGTGCCCACCATCGTTGGCATGTCCACCACGATACCCGATGGGACATACGATATTGACGCGATCGTGCCAATCCAAATCTCGTTTTCAGCTCCTGTGGTCGTCACCGGAGTCCCCTTGCTACTGCTCAACGTACACAGCGACGCCACACGAGGCGCCACATACCAATCCGGTTCTGGCACGACCAGCTTGGTCTTTCTCTACCGCGTCCAACTGGGGGACGAGGCGTGGCCCCTGGACCACTTGAACACGAACGCGATGCAGCTCAAGATGCCATTGCGGGTCAATCCACTGCAGGACCCGCCGTTTGCAACCGTGAATCGGCTGTCAAGTCACCCGATCTTGCCGGCGGACCTGACGCTGCCCCCCCTGGGTCCCCCGCCCCAGATCAACACCCCCCGCAACTTGATTCGAGCCGGACATATCATCAACATCCGGACGGACGGCGTTCGCGTGAGTCAAGTGGAGGCGGCTGCAAACAACGTCGTGAGAGGGGGTACCGTTGCTGCCGGCCACGTGTTGGAGCTGTTTGTGCACTTTACCCAACATGTATTTGTGACGGGAACGCCCCAATTGAGTCTAAATGTCCCCTCTCGAGCCACGTATGTATCTGGGTCGGGTACGGAAATTCTCAAGTTTGTCTATGTCGTGGCGCCGGGGGACGTCGCTGCAGCGCTCGAACTGACCAGCGTACTGCTGGGATCGAGTGACGCTGTCAACGATGTGGAGGAGGTGCCGGTGCCCCTCCAACTCCCCGCCATAGGAACGCCATATAGCCTCGGAATTCGCTACACGATCCACATCTCCGCCATCCCCCCCGTGGTGCAGATAGTCGAGGCCATTGGTGTGTTGCCCCATACTGTGCTTGCAGCAGGGGATGTCGTACAGTTGGTCGTGTTGTTTTCAGTGCCCGTGGTCGTCAGTGGCATCCCTCAATTGGCTTTGAATACAGGCCAACCCGCCGTGTATGTTGCTGGTTCTGGCACAAACTCGCTCGTGTTTTCTTATGTTGTTCAAGCGGGAAATGCGGGCGTGCTGGACTATGCCAGTGCGACGGCTTTGACGGGAAACATTCGAGCACAGTCGACTACCCCCACAACCCCCGCGATACTGACACTTGCCGTTCCGGGCACTCTAACCAGTTTGAGTGCGACTTGGAGTTTGACGCTCAATACAACCCCCCCCACTGTTGTGGACGTATCGTTTGCAGGACTGCCAGATCAAGTGTGCACTGTGGGGATGGACATCCCCATACAAATCAAGTTTTCGTACCCCGTGGTTGTAGCCGGGACCCTCCCGACGTTGGCACTGGCGACTAAGGGCAATGTGAATCAAAACGCCAGGTACGTCGGGGGCTCTGGCACGTCCCTGCTCCATTTTGTCTACACAGTGCAACCTGGCGACGCCTCCACCGCCCTCGAGTACACCCACGCTAACGCCCTTCAAGCGTCGATGATCTTGCAGTTCAGCTCCTCGCCCACCGTCCACGCGAGGCTGACGCTGCCAGTGCCAGGGTCCGTTGGCAGTTTAAGTGGCAAGTCGAGGTTGACTGTATGCATGACATGTCCGCGAGTAGTTTCCGTCACTGGGTCCCCCACGGGCGTGTACACTGCTGGGCACACCCTGTCGATCATGGTCACGTTTTCTGAAGCGGTGCAGTTTGCCCCTTCCCCCGTCCCAACAACATCCACAACCGCTCCTGTACCGATTCCAACGTTAAACATTCGGCTAGCTATGGCCTTTGAACGTGTGGCGACGTACACGTCCGGGTCGGGCACGGCCACTTGGACGTTTGTGTACCCCATTCAAATAAGCGATGACGTGTATCCGGTGGAAGTGGCCAACATGTATGCATTGTACGGAGCCCAAGTCGTGTCTGTGGCCCGTCCAACGTACGTCGCGTCGCTCCGGTTACCAAGTGTCGGTCAACTGAACAGTCTGAGCGCCACGTCATCGATTCGCATCGACACGAGTCCGCCCACGGTCGTTCAAGTGACCACACCCGTGCCCGACGGCGAGTACGGCCCCGGCCATGTGATAGCCATCGATGTGGCGTTTTCCGTGCCAGTTGTGGTCACTGGAACGCCTGTGCTGCACCTCGCGGTGTTGCCGACCCCTCAGGCTGCCACGTACGAGGCTACAGCAGGCGCCACGTCATCCGTGGTACGGTTCACATATGTCGTCCAGCCAGGGGACTCTGTCTTCCGATTGGATTACATGCGCGTGTGCTCTGATCGAGGCTTTTTCGACGACGTCGAGGGGTACGACCCCACGGAATCGTCCCTTCCGTGCTTACCCCTTGGCACCATCTCAGCCTTGGACCTTAATGGCGGGTACACACAAGTCAATCTATATATACATATATGTCCTACAGATTATGGGGAAAATATCATCATGGGATTGATGCACGGTTAATACTAGTATACGACAACCTCGTGTACATAGTATTTGAAATCGAATGTACTACACAGGAAGGGAAATGTGTGACGACGTCCTGTGACATGTTAGGTCGATCAAAGCCGCCGCGACTATTCCCATGGTGGACGCAAACGTAGCACTGCCGGCGGTGAGCCCGTGGCCTGCGATGCGGTATCTTCGAAGCGACTACTCGGTCGCGTACAACAAGACCGTATCGCAGACGATTCCGCAACAACCGAGTGAACGGAGTGTGTGTGCGTTTGATCAAGAAGACCGCCAGTTTCACATCTTGTCGAACGGAGTGCCCAATCATGTGGCCCCAATGGGATTCGTTCCTGCCGCGTACATGTTTGAGCTGCCGCGGTTCCCCACCATGACGTGGACGCGGGACCGCCCCGTTGGCCTTGTGGGGGTCATGCTGAATGGCATCCCATTCAACAACTCGATCGAGTCGGTTTCTACCGGCGGCGATTTGTGCGGTGGCGCGCTCGATGCCTCTACGAATCGATACACTTATGTGGCCATGCCCACGTGTTTTCTGGAGACAGTCAGGCCTCCATCATCCAGTATGGTCGGGTACGTTTTAGACGGGTACCCCCTGTACAAGCAGTCGGCGACTTCTCCTATCGTTCTGGACGAATGTAACGGCGTATACGGCCCAGATGGCGTCTACCGGTACTACTTGAACCCAGCGTCTATTGAATCCACGGGTACGTTTATTCCGTGCTTCAAGGGGTACGTGCCAATGCATCTTGGGCGAGCCGTCGCAGTGGACTATACATTTGTGGGCGGCATCGAAGGGTTCACGCCAATCAACTTGCAGGACCTGGTCGTGTTTCCCCAAAATAGAGAAAACTCCATTTGGCTCAACGCAGCCAGTGTATCGGTCACCACAACCGCCACAACTGTGATTGTATCCAGCACCGGCCTCCCCGACGGCCCCCTTGGTCTCTTTCCCAACGCTCTCAACTCCAACTCGGTCCTCCCTCAAAACTACCAGTTCCGCATCCCCCGATCTCCCGTGAAAGCAGGTACCCGGACCCCCCTGCCCAGCGGGGCCGCCATCGGCGTCTTATTGAACGGCATCCCACTGTATAATACCATCGACACGGACGGCAACTCGCTGCTCGACCCCCGGATTGTGCGGCACTTGGTGCTGGACAAGTGCAACGGGTACGTTGATGCCACAGGGGCATATCGATACTACGCCCCCCCGGACTGCCTCTTGGACGCCCTCAACGAACGACCGGGGGACCCTTCCCCCCTCATCGGGTTTGCTTTCGACGGGTTCCCAATCTACGGCCGCTTTGACGAGTCCGGAAATGTGCCGACAGATTTGGATCGTTGCAACGGCCGAACCAACCAAGCAGGCATGTACCAGTACCACGTCACAGACTCTCCTCCGTATACACTTGGGTGCTTTACGGGCGTGGTGCCGCCGTCAACGCTGCCGTTTTATCGGAGTTTGGCCACGTCCAGCGCCATCTCGATCAAGTCGTCGCCGCCGTATATTGTCGACATTACCACGTTGAAAGCTCCAGGTAAGACACACCACCACAACAAACAACCCAAACGAGCGAAAAATATGTAGAGACAATATCTATGGTCCAACGTTACCAAAGTTATACTATTTTCCTTCTTATATTATTATTGGTCTATTATTTACACGTGCTACGGGAAAATCCGATATACTATTTTCCTTCTTATATTATTATTGGTCTATTATTTACACGTGCTACGGGAAAATCCGCTGTTCTTTTTATCTAGCGATGATGCCACTCTCTGTCTTAAGTATAAAGTGCCCTTGTGTTGTCCACAATCAGAGAGTATCAAATAGACATATATATTTGTGGGAAGGATATCTACCATCGATCGCTTTTACCTAATAGGGAGCTACGTGGCGGGGGAAACCATCGACTTTCGAGTGTTGTGGTCGGATCCAGTAGCTGTGACAGGGGCACCAACTCTGTCACTGGCCGTCGTCCACAACACGACGCAGGTCGCAGCCATCGCGACGTACGATAGCACGACCAGCACCCCCACCACAACAGTGTTCTTGTATGTCGTGGGGCCCCAAGAGTTCATTGCTGACTTGAGCGTGCAGTCCCCCACGGCTCTGCAACTGCCGACCGCCGCGACGTCCATCAAGCGCGCCGCCACTGTCCCCACCCTCGACGCAATCCTCACGTGTCCGATGGCCACGCTTGGCTCGCGGTACGTCGGAGGATTGCTTGTACATAGACGTAGTTATAGGGTTTTCAACTCTATCATGTTGTTATATATATATATATATATATATATATATATGTGGAGTAGTTCTAAAGGATGGTTGGGTGGGTTGGGGGTAGATTTATAGGTTGGATCTGTTTCATGTGAACTAGTACTACTACTACGTACTAGTATATGTCGTGTAATAGGAATAACGTCACGTTTGTGTGTGGCATGTATATAATTAGTTACCTTCTATCCTTGTTTCACTCGATTGTATGGATGGAATCATCGGATCCTAATCTGTATATAACAAATAGCATTCAATCGGTCGCCAATGTCCAAGTGAACCTACGGGGTCTGTACCATCCGGATGCGCAGGACTTGGCCGTTTCTTTGATGCACAACGACATTCGCGCGAGGCTATTTGATCCGATCCCCATGTCGGGCTACCACTTTGGCCGTCCGCGGGATGCCACCGCCTGGCGGATGGACGTGGAGGACGATGCGAGTAGCATCGGCGCCGACTACTCGTTCGTTGCGACCAATTTGGGGGTAAATCTGGCCCTGAGCGGTATCGCCACCCAAAGCTCAACGTTTGGGCCGACGTCGTCCGCCAACAAAGCGATCGATGGCATCCGGTCGGCGTACTTTTCGAGTGAGTCGATTGCCAGGACATCGGGGGTTGTGCAGCGCGATCCGGCGCCGTGGTGGCAACTCCGGTAAGGCACAAATGTTTGCATATATAATATATATATAAGGAATGGCCAACTATTCTACATGTCAAAACAATACTACTGGGAGATTTGGGCAACAGTGGATAATAGTGTATATTGTACGATAATTGAAAGGGGAAAAAAGGGGGGATAATGATCGATGGCCTCATGTATATATTATGTATATATATATATATATTTCGTGTCCTTTTACCAACATTTGGACTTTTGTTCTGATACGCCAAATCTATCCATCGATTCGTGGTACTTCTTTTTGTATTTAATATCGTTCAGTTTCACACTAATTTAAGTCATACACTAATGTCATGTTGAATTGGTCGAAGAGTGGATTTGATTGGCTACTTGAAAAATAATGATTGGTCCATCGATTTGGTTATTTTAGCTCATTCGATTGAGCATCCCATTTCTCCAATTTCGAATCGACTCGACAATATATATATATGTATATATATAGGCTGGACGCCCCGACGGCGATCGGGACGATTAAGCTCTTCAACGTTGCTCAGCAACGCAGCCAATTCGAAGTGCAAGTGGTATCGGTAACCGGACCAGTTGCCGTAGACGGCACGTTCCAGCTCCGCGTGGGCACATGCACGACCCCCCCCGTGTCCGTCGGCGCCGTCGCCATGCGGCAAGACGAGCGTTTGTTTGGCGAGTCATTTCAAGCTAAACTGGAGGCATGCACCGGCCAAGTAACCGTGCTCCGCAGCGCCGCCGACCGTATGGGCGGGTACGTTTACACTTGAAATCCCGTAGCTTGGGGGGGATAGATTGATTCATTCACAAGAGCGATAATGGCAAATGAAATTCGGGATAGGTACGCGTGGACTGTGACGTTTGTGGAGGACGTGGGGTCGATCGCGTTGATGGATGTGGTGCATGCGACACAGGCGACGTTGGAGACGTCTGTGACAACGTTATGGGACAGCACCGCGAACGTTTGGTATTCGTTTCAGACGGCGGTGCCTGGCGAGTTGTATGGCGACACGTTGTATCCGTGCTATGTGATGGTGTTTGATACACTGTCCGCATTGACGTTTGAGACAGTGCAAGATGCGCTCGCGGCAGCCGTGTGGAGTCGGTGGGTAGAAACAGCACAGGTCGAAGCGACGATTGTGTTGCCTCCGCATACAATTGGCCAGTACATCCGCATTCAGCACAACTCGCCGCAGTACTTGAGTGTGGCTGAAGTCGAAGTGTATGCAGAACGATACCACTCGCTGGCCGAGTACTTTGAAGGGAGTCCCGTGGCGAGCCAAGCGTACGATTCTAACGTCGTGTGGGCCCCCGAGGTTTCCCTCCAGCTCGCGTTTGGGGGGCAGTCTGCTCGGGGGGACTGGAGCCTCGTGCTTCAAGACCGACGGGCATCTGTCGCCGTCGGTACCGTCAAGGATGCGTACCCGCTACAAGGACAGGGGGGGCTATCCGAGTGGCAGCTCGTGGTGACTAACACGGCGGGTACCACCACCACCCACTACCTCCCCATGGTAGCTACCATCTCGACCATCCCAAAGTACGGCGACCTCCTTGTCGATGCTCGTGAGTCTGAGACAGATCATCTCGACTCGGAAGGCAATGCGTACTTGGACCCGTCCGAAGCGCGCCAGTACCTGTCGACGTACTGGCCTGGGTACTTGTTTCTGGACGCGTTTGTGCAGTATCGCATATTGCAAGACATGGTCGATACGTATGCATTGTATGGACGCCTCAAAGTGTATGGCCAGCAAGGCCAGCGCCGGTGGATTGCCGAGACATGCGAGGGGGCTGTGTGTGTGATGCCCCCCACGCACTACGAACTGTACACGTCCATGTCGGTGGCAGCACCCCAGCACCTCCTTGACAAGACGCGGACGGTCGCGTACGTTCCGTCGCCTGGCTTTGTCGGCATGGATACGTTTACGTTTTCGACGCAGCTTAATAACCATGACGCACCTGGCCTTGTTCGGATTCAAGTTCTCCACTGCCGAGACCCGACCTGTGTGAACGATCTTTACCTGGCTCAAAGCAGCATGCAACCTGCGGGGTCGTAACTAGGACATCCTACTACTACTACCTACTTACTGTTGTTAACGTGGGAGATCAACGCTACTTGCAGATTTCACAACCTTGTAACTGGTTCAGTTAGATACTAACGTTAGTATAGCTTTTGACGCAGACTCGATAAATGTACTTGTGCAGCCTCAGCCCCCAACAAAGACTTTCCACCAGCTTGTAGGGTCATGGCTGGCGTCGCACATCCTTCCGATTGGTGCTCATGCGGTCGAATATTATGAATTTGAAACCACCGATTCAGATACACTTTCGTCAAATTATTTAGACTGACCTAGCCAATCAAAACGGCAGTGCTTATATATTTCAGCCAATCGTCAATCGGTATAGTTTGACCCAATCAATCAAAATACCCCTGTCGAAATGAGTACTACCGTACACCCAATGGATCTGTACCCCCGAAAATGTCAGTAAAATCTGATCGAAATGGATACAACTCAATAAGGTGGTCTGATTTCTTTCCAATGCGTTAGGATTGGTTACTTCTACTACTTCGACTTGTTTAATTGGCTAGAACGAGATAATTGGACAGTTTTGACCAATATAAAGCGACTTGGGTACAGCCTTCCACGGTACCATACAGCAATTTGGGTACAACTCGATAAGGCAAAATCATGGGTACTGATCCATAAGGTATACGGTAGTATCATTATAGTACTAAAAAAAATTACGTAGTAGACACTCGAACGCCCAAAATCCACCGAAAAGGGCAATATGTGCAAAACATTTAATGCAAAAGTCCAATTTACTGTTACTGTAAGAACACTTTTTCCAAGATGCTACCGTGGAAGGCATGTAACTCGACTCATTGGAATCAGATTCTAATTCTACAATATATTACATCAAGCCAAAATCCAGGCCTATTCGGGAGTTATGAATGAGATATGTTCTCTGTTATAATTCATTATCATTCACACCACTTTGTCCACAAATAGCTTAAAACAAGCGATCCAGTTTTCAGAAATAGCATGAGCCAATCAAAATCGACTTACCTCCTTTTTTTTCACGATTTAGTAAAAAGACGTCAAGGACCTCTTTTTCTTCTGTGTTGCGTAAAAATCACACAAAAAGAGGAAAAAAAGTAGAAAACTGTATTGTGCTTTCGAGTGAAATTTCATGTTGTGGCATGGTTTCTCGTTGGAATTTAAATCGATTTGATTGGCTACCTCCGATGAGCTCAAAATGAATAGCCAATCAAAAACTTCTTAATGAAATCCAACCAATCAGATCGATTGTGGATCGGTTTGGTCGGCGCGATTCGATTGCACCCCCCCCTCCCCAAATTTGTATTTACTGTAAATGGACAATACTTGGAACCCATTTTTCATTTTGCTAAAAATATCTACTTGGAACAGGCCCTTACAGTTAAGGTTTACCATTTTCAGCTGTTAGTCGTTGTATTTCCATATGCTTTAGGGCGGTTAGGTTAAAATCAAACTGCCTTTCTAGAAATTGATTGGCTACTTTGGGTTTACAGTTGTAAATTGGACTTTTAGGTTACAAAAAATATACTATTATAGTGCATCGACATAAGGCAGTCAGTCAATTATTTACTGGCCATTTAAGGTAAACTCGAGCTTGGCTTGTTGCAGCATTTCCACGACGCGGGCACTGGATGGACGAAGCGCCGGGTCGAACTGCAGACATGCTTTAGCGATCTGCAGGATGGACGCGGGGCAGTCGGGCGAGAACGTCGGGCGCAGTTCCCCGCGCGCGACCTTGACGACGATGGACATGTCTGGCGCGCCGCCGGCTTTGCTGCTCTTCTGGTCGTCAAATGGAATCTCGCGGGTGTCGAGTTCAGACAGCACGACACCGAATGAGTACACGTCCGAGATCTCCGAGTAGATGTCGCCGAGCATGACTTCGGGCGCGGTCCAGCGCACCGTGCCGACGCCGGCCGTGAGGGTTTCTTCGTAGCTGCGGTTGCGGCTGAGCCCAAAGTCCGACAGCTTAGCGACCATATTGGACGTGAGCAGAACGTTCTTGGACTTCAAGTCGCGATGGATGAGCTTCGGAGTGAGCCCGTGGAGGTACGCGAGCGCGAGCGCGACGTCGATGGCGATGTTCACCTTTTGCGCAGGCCACGAGAGCTGGATCTTGGGGTTCTCGAGCAACGTGCGGACGTCGCCGCCGTCCATAAACTCGGTCACGGCACTCAAGTCCATGCCAGAAGTCCACGTGGACCCGATGAATTCGACAATGTTGGGCGCTTTCAACCGACCCATGATCTGGATTTCCTTGGAGAAGAGCACGGCTTGGTCGTCGCCCTCGATCATGCGCTTAATCGCGACGGGTTGGCCATGGTAGTGGCCCAACCACACGACACCGAACGCGCCGCGGGAAATCGCGCGGGTGAGCAGCACTTCGTTGTGGTCGATACGGAACGGCATGAGTTCGGGGAAATAGTTCTCCGTGGGGTCTGCGGGAGCTTGGATAGGACGGAACGTGTCCACGCCACTGGTGTTTGTGCGGGTGCCAGTATTGTTTGACTTGGATCGGTCGTTGGACAGGTTGCGTGTGGAGTGGTTGAACGTGGACTGGTTCACATACCCGTCGTTGGTCGACTTGCTGCTTCTGCATGACCGCCAGATGAAGAAGCCCGCAAGGATCGCGACGACGACGCCGCCAGCGATTGCAACGATCAACACGGTATCGCTCATGGTGCAGCGAACCCAAAGCGCAAATGACTGGAAAGACGGAGCACGCAACTCTCTTCCAATATTCGTAATGGATAAATAAGCCAATCATATGACGTGAATTGAAAAAGCAGCCAATCAAATTCGATCAATGGTTAAACAATGGTGCAATATTGTACAGTGAGTCACCTTTGTGAAAAATTCAAACCACAATAACCTTTTTTCCATAGTATTGTACAGTTTATACGTGAAAATAAGTTCTAAAATAAACGCATTTTCGTCTATCGCCAGCACGCAGCCGGAGGGTTGACATGTTTTTGCGGTGGTTAGGAATTCAGACCTGATTGAACAGCACAATATACGCAGAGTCTTCAAGTCGACTCGCAGAACGTGGTAGTATAACAAGATCTATACGATCGTCGATTGACTTGTTTGCGGGAGGTGATGTCTATGCTTCGTTATGACGGCTCCAATCGACCAGACGTACCACCAATAAACAACCAAATGTCGCCCCTCCGAATGATTACCACTGTATTTTAACCAATCAAACGCATGAATCTATTCCAGTTTTAATTCTGATGCGACGAGTCGATACTTTATTCAAGTCAAAACTCACCACCCCCTTTTATATTTTTCATTTGCCCGACCATTTGTATCTTTGGCGACCGGCGGTTAATGCTTCTGACTCGATCTCATGCGATCCTCAAGGGAGCGGGAGGCTGAAGGGACAAACGACAAACCACGAGGCCCAAGCCATGAAGAGACAAAGCAACAACAACATGGACGTGGTTCTCTTCTCGCTGTACATATACACGATCTTTACGAGTCTATCGAGCCCATGTACCGAAGGGTGCCGTGACTGATCTGCACGAGACTCTCTTCCTCCAAGAGTCGAATGGCCGATTGGAAGTCGGTGGGCTTCGTTTCGGCGTTGCGTGCCTCGTCCAACTTGCGCTTGGCCTCCCCCAAACTCATCGCCCCTTCGGCGGCCTCGAGGATCAACTTGAGATCTGCCACCATCACACTGAGCGTCTGTCGATCCAGCGTCGCCAACCCCGTCGTGATCATGTCCATGTCGATGGTGCCGGTGCGCGGGTCCATCGCGGCCTTTTGCGTCGCCACGTGCATGAGACGCAACGCTTCCGCCACTTCGCTCGACGTCACTAGACAAGCAAACACACACGTGAGTCTTGAACGCACTTTCTCGCGCTCGTTGAACCCACCAGCGTCGCTCAACTTCATCTTGGCCAGGGCTTCGGAGATGCGAATGAGCGATTCCAACTGTCGAGGGGTTGCCGTGATGTTCTTCCGACTGTTGCCCATGCGCCGGAGGTCCAAGTACCCGGCAATGAGGTCCGCCGCCGCCGCTTCCGTGAGCTTGGGATGCACGTGCTTCTTTGCATACGCAATGTACTCGGACAAGACGGACATGGAGATCACTTCCGACGTCCGCGTCGTGGCCGACACCGTGTACCCGTCGTAGTACATGCTCACAATGTGCCGCGCGAGTTGGCGGTCGGCGTCGGCATTTGGTCGATCCAGGATCAAGTAGATCAAGTCAAATCTATCGATAACACACATTCAAATGAAAGTATTTATCCAAATATTGTTCATTTTTCGCATATATTCACTTTAAATTGTTGTTTTTTCGAAAATACTACGGTATACAGTATCCAAAATAGCATCAAATCAATCCAGTATAGTACAAGGATCAAATAGCATAACCATAGTATATAACATGACATTCTACCCTATAATATATATAAAACATAACAATTCTACCATATATACTCACTATATATGCAATCACCCCATATATTATATATATTACAGGACAATTCTAACATGTACAGTATATGCACGATATGCAATCACGCCATATAATATATCTTTTTACATGACGACAATTCTACCTTGGATATGTACTATACGCAATCACCCCATAACATCATATATATATATATATATCATCCCACATAATGTATACATATATAATATATAACAGGATCATTCTCCTCCCATTGTGGGTATTTTATTACATTAAATACAAATCAACATCCTCTGGGACCAATATCGTACATACCGACTGAGTAGCGTGGGGAGGATATTAATATTTTCAATCACACTTTTCGCGGGGTTGTATCTCGATTCAATCGGATTCGCCGACGCCAAGATGGAAGCGCGAGCGTTGAGTGAGCAGATGATGCCGGCCTTGGCAATGGACACGGTCTGCTGCTCCATCACTTCATGGAGAACGCTCCGGGCCGAGTCAGACATTTTGTCGAACTCGTCGATGCAGCAGATGCCCTCGTCAGACAGCACCAGCGCCCCGCTCTCGAGCACGAGGTCGCCCGTCTCCATGTCTCTTACTACGGACGCCGTGAGCCCGACCGCGGAGCTGCCCTTGCCGCTCGTGTAGATGCCTCGGGGCGCCAGCTTGTGCACGTACGAGAGCAGCTGTGATTTGGATGTCCCCGGGTCGCCACACAAGAGCACGTTCAAGTCAGACCGCGTGTGCTTCTTCTCGGGACCGCCGGAGCCCCCCTTTCGCGCCCCGCCAAATAGTTGGCACAGCACGCCTAAAATTGGACAAGGGGGGGTAAATATGTTGGAATACATATATATTTGTATAGTGAAAGTTGCAAGAGACTTGGGATTCAAAGGTTTCAACACGAAAAACCAAAACATCCCATGGGAAAGAAACGTGTTCCAATAATAAAAATAGAAACGTCTTTAAAACCAAGGATTCAATTGATGGGTTCAACATTAAAATATATATAAATATTTCATCTCATTTAAATAGAAAACATGTATATTACCAAAACTGACACGACCAGAATCCTGTACCCTTACAGTTCGTAATTTATACTTGAAGTATAAAGTTTACGATATGACTGTATATACATATATATACAGAATAGAGTGGCATAACTGTAAACATGCATGCAACTTTAATGGGGAATAGATATACATAGAAATACAGACAGGACATATATATATATATATATATATAATATA